AACATGTTATACTACGATTGAAAATCAAGTGAAAGCTCGTTTACCCCTCGTGGGGCATGGACGTCTACATTTCTTTGTCCATTTCACTGATCCGTTCTTTTAATGGACAAGTAGTTGATCAGACTTCTGTGCCCCGCCCGACCTAAACAGTTTTTGGTTTCCCTGGGATTCAAATCCTCTCGTGCTTAACGCAATGCTAGGCAATATGTTTAAATATTTGGCTACAGAGGCGATGCTTGGAAATAGTGGTAGTAAGAATATCATAATTCTATCGGGGTCACAAACCACAATCCCAATGAACCGTGAATTTTAATCACATTTGGTTCAATCTGTGGATTCTTAATATCCCGAGACCAAATAGGTTTACAGCATATCTTGATGAGATTTTACATGGATGGGGTAAATCAAACAAAGTCCTTGCTTATTGGACCTCCTCCTCTATTGTTAAAAATTTAGATGAAAACCAGGACATACAAGCTTAATGAAAACCCACCGTACACATCCAGTGTGGGGTTTAAGAAAGTTGTTAACATCTGGATAGAATGACAAATAGGCTTAAACACACCCAGGGGATGTGTCGCAGGTGAAAGCAAAACATATTTAATATTTTATACATGTCTTGAAAAGAAAATTCAATTTTATGCAACTTTAATATTTTACTGTCTTATAGGCATAAATGTTACAAATTTTGTACTTTGGTAAATTGAGATCTTGTGGTTAGCGAGACGTTACATATTCATAATTATTAATAAATAACATTATTTTGCGTACATTGTTTAAATACTTGACATATAGTATATCTACCTACCGTAATTAAACTAAGCTAAACTACCGAAAATAACTTAAAATGTTACTAATCTAAAGAATTCATACAAAAAATGTATATAGTCTTGTTATTTTAAAATGTGGTTTGAATTTCAATAAGCAGAAATTTTGGTTCCAATTACTTTAAATATAAATAATTACTTATTTGTATTTAAGTATGTATGTTAAACGTAATTATGTTCGTAATTCAAAATAGCAATTCCAAATTCAAATTACTTTCAAAATCGAAAACAACCGATGTTCATCGTTAATTTGAAATTGGAAGACAATTTTAATTACGTTTACGTAATTTATCGTGTGCCAGCGGTATTGTATAAATTAAAATTATTGAAATTCTATCTGCGGTCCTGACATATTGCGTCGAAATTCCTTCGAAGCCTACTTTCGTAATAAGTGGGCAAGTGGCGGTCGCACGCACTTTCCTCCAAAGTTGCTAAACTAGTAATAAATCAAACAATACATTTTATCTACACTTACCTGACGGCGGGCGAAAATCTTATCTCTCCGTTTACTCAAAAAACATCCGAAATACACGTTCGTTTCACTCAAAACTTATAAAACACGTACACATCAAACTTAAATTGTTAAAACTTGTTACAGGTGTTATTAATGGTAAATTCTAAATAACTTTGCTGTTTAAACAGTATTGAATCACTGCGATTAAAATATATCACAAGTTGAGTAATATTCCGTACGGTATCGGCGTTTTAATGGAAAAAGTTGTAGAACTTGTAATGTGACAGTTCAACTTGCATACTCGCTTTTTCCTCGGCGATAAATCGCGACTTGCTATTGGCTAACCGCTTGTCAAAGTTAGTTGAAAATATCGTGTAACTAGCGACATCTAGACAAAGGAACGTTAAACATTACTTAGTAGTTGTAATCTTGCTTGGCAAGATGGCGACAATTTTAATATCTTTAAGTTATATATAACATTTTTAACGGTTTCAAATGTGAAATGAATTTGTTGAATTAAACGTTTTTTAAGATTTTTAAAAATACGTCAGGGCGGGACAAAAATGGGTATCCATTGCGTTCCTGCTGCGCTAACTTTGATTTATTTTATCAACGAGGGGTCAATTTATAATAATTTTACTGTTATATTTCGCGTTTTAAACCGTTAGTTTTTTAATTTAAATGGGCAGTACCCGCGGAAACTACGTATTTGTATTTTTTTGCTATTCGTATAATTTTGCGTATATATTTAAATTTTATTTACTTTTATAGTTTAGTTTAGTTCACTAAAAGTTTGTAGTTGATGTCACCTTCGGTCCCCGGGGGGGCACTGATAACCGGCGCTTCTCCTCTACTCAGTGCTTTTCCCCATTTCACAAGCAATCGTCCAAGTTTCTATTTTTGTTTGTTTTTCTTTTTTCTCTTTTTTTATAAATGCTAGTTATTTAAGCTTACATTTAAGTTATTTATTCTGTCATGTGAAATAAATGGTTTGAATTTAATTAAATTTAGGCCTGTACGATTCTAGGTAGTATAGAGGGTTCTGAAATAAAAATGACTGACAATCGCATATTTGCAAAATATATAACGTCACAGACCGATAATCAGTGACGTCACATATTTTGTAACTTGGACGACTAGAATCCTTAGTATGTACAAACGCCGACCTTGTTTTTTGAGGCGATAAATATTAAATTATTAAAAGTATTATAAGGTTCAATAAAACAAATGACCACTTGTTACATAACTTTAATCTTTGGTACTCCAAAAAATAAATCCAAGCGTTCAGCACAAACAAAACCTTATTAATACATTGGGGCCCCAAATCACTTGGCGCCCCAAAGTTGTAAATATCACAACACAAAGTCTATAAAAATAATGTCAACCCACTGCTTACAATTGTAATGTCGTTAGAAAAATAAAAACAATACAAATGTAAATAAAACACTTTAACGGCTGCTGCAAAGCATCCGAAACGTCGGGCCGAAGTTAAAAATCATTTTCAAATAAGTTTAACTAATATATCGCGTTTTGAACCGTTAAAGTGTTTTATTTAAATGTGTACTACTCGCGTAAACTATAGATAGTATTTAACGATACAAATACTGTTATGTGCAAATTATGTGTATAAAGAATAATAGTGAATGTAATTTTCTCTAAGATTCTCTATTTTCTATGATAGAAGAGAACAGACAAACATAGGATGATGAAAGGTGAAAAACCTTAGTCATAAAAGATATATGGCTGTCTAATGGCTTTGGATATTAGGAAATCCATAGACTAAAACCAAAGCGCGATTAAACTACGCGGCTTTTTCATCTGTAGACGGTGGTTTGTGACTAGTTCGGAATCGTTGATGTTCGATTCCTACTACGAAGTTAATATTCAGATTTCCAGGCGAAGTCCAATATGTTTCAGAAATTATAAATTGATATGAAACATGTTAGACCCGGTGGGGATCGAGCTCGCGACCCGATGATTATGATACATTGCTACCATCACTCCAACGAGCTCGTCCAATTATGTCAAAATGTAAAATTGGGGCCTTTAATTTCTTAAATCGACTACACTTATTTTGAGATTTCATGTTACAAGATCGTAAATTCGAGATACTTAAAGCTTATTTCAAACATAAACATTATACGAATCATCTAAAATGATATTTCAAAGCCAAGATTATATGAGGCCGCTAGAGGCAGAGTAGCCTATTTGCAATTTTGCACACACAGTGACCCAAAACTGTATAACAGTACAAATTCATTTTCGCCCAAGTTAATTGCGCATTTTTATTTTTCTCATTATTGAAAATCATGTTTTTTTCATTAGCCACTCTGCATATAGCAGCCTCATATAGGGTATACAGGCTTCACTTGATAGAAGGTGTGACCCAACCATGACCAAAATGTGAATCTACTTGTCAAAAACTTGTTCTGGGAATCTATAATGAATTTGAATATTTGCTTATTTGTTAGATGGACTGTCAAAATAAGTATATAAGAAAGTTAGAGTAGTAATTCTGTATATACTAAGTATTAAATATATACTTCCTACATAGCATCCAACGTGTTAAATATTCACTCAAGAAACATATAATATATGCAATTTCTAACCACACAACATACAACTTTAAAATATTTAAAAACCAAACGATTGTAAAAATGTCACCGCTTGACACAGACTTTGAATAGAAGCGGGGCCTCTGGGGCCTCAAAATTTAAAATGGACGTTAAATTCGCTGGCTAACTGCCCAAGACTACAGTCTAGTAAATATCATACTCGCTTACAATCTATGTCATATAAGACAAATATTTAAAAAAAGCTTCTTAATAGCTGTATGTTTTGTCCTGCTTACTCGTAAGTGTAATGTTGTTTGAGTGATAGAGACAAAGATGTGTATCGCTTAAAGCTCGCAATGGCCATGGAAGGCTATTTTAAAGAAATACAAAGATTTTTTTTATTTGCTAGATCACATTTAAAATTCCGCTTAACTACAACGAATGGATCGAGAAACACATATGTTATTTTACATTTTATTTAAGATCACTTCGCCAACAGACTTTCACGTCGTTAAATAACGGTTTAAAAAGCGAAATGTATTATATAGTATTATTATCTACTTACGTTAACTACTTATTTCCTTTAATAAAAAAAAAACTAGACCAAAAAAAACTGCATACCAAGAAAGACAGGACGCTGTGAGTCGGATAGTTTCTCCAAATACCAACAGATGGCGCTAGCGTAGAAAATTTGTCATTGACATAAGGAAACCCCAAAGAATGCAAAGCATCGCCAGGCCGTGATTAAAATATTTCCTAAACAAGATAACTAGTAACATTTCGCGTTTTAAGCCGTTAAAATGTGTTTTATTTAAATGTGTTGAACTCGCGTAAAATACAGACTGTTTTGACTCTCAGATTGTTTTGTATTGAGACCTAAAAGACGGTATTTTAAACTTTGTTTTCGTTTCTTAAGATAGTAAGTATAAAGTTCACTTAATGAAATACCTCAGCCATTAACATCTGAACAAGATGTGCTATCGACCTATTATACTGCAATGGATTGCGTTAGACTTGCATGGTTTATTAATTTGTAGATAACGATTAGACAAACATACATAGTATACTTTTAAAACGTGTCTAGTCTTCTCAAGACTATCAATAGAAATTATGAAAGTTTAATAAATTCTACTTCTATATAACCTATAACGAACAGTATACAATTTAATCTGGAAGCCAGTGCTGTGTCCGCCATAGCAGGCAGTAATACCCGCTTAGCGCTGTAGCTGTGTTGCCAGACTGAAAAAAAATGAAAATTTTACGTCAAGATAAAATTATAAAAAATATATAAGAAAAACTCCTATTTTTACAGTCCGATGCAAACATACAAACATACAACATACCTTAAATATAGACATACAACCATTCAAACATACAATAATGCTACGTTACCTGCGACGGCGCATATCTGTTCAACAATGGCCGATATCCGTCGCCCAGTGTTGCCAACATTGGATAGTTGACGTTTCCATGCGGGGGAAGTGCTAATATAGATCTCACCTGAAAATTGAAATTGTTTTTCCTTTGAAATAAAACATTTTAACGGTTTAAAATGCGATATATATTAGTTAAACTTATTCCTTTAATTTTCCCTTTCAAATAGCACATTTATAGCAATATAATAGATAAAACTAACTATTAACTTTAGTTAGTAAAAAAATAACGAAAGCTCCGAAAGTTGCAACTTAAAAATAAATAAATAAATTTTACGTTATAAACCGTTTAATTTATATGTACTTGAGTATAACTAGAGACAAGTATTATATCAGTTAGTAAAACCCGCAACACTTAGAGTGGCCAGGCGGGGCGTAGGTAAAAATTGAGTTATAATCCTCCAATGTAGTTTACTAAAGACAAGTTTATATCAGAGAGATATATTTTATTTACCTCTCCTTCATGAGGCCGACAGACCGCCAGAGGCCGCAGCGTTGCTGCATCAGCGACTACCACACAACCCCATAGCGTACCCACGTACGCTTCCGTTCCGCACACGCAGAGCGACGTAATCTGTACGCAAAATGTTAAACTATACTAATATTGTAAAGCCGAAGAGCTTGAACGCGCTAATTCTAGGAACTAGTGGTTCGAATTAAGAAAGTCTTTATTGTGTTGGTTACAGTATTTATCAAGTATAGGCTTTTGACTATAAAACATTACGCTGCGACTAATCGAAGCAAAGAAACAGCGGAAAAAAAAGGGGGAACTATTTGATTTTTTTGAGGGTTCCGTTGGGCACGCTACAAAACGGCTCAAGATACCAAAAAAATGTGTACGAAAAGAATGATTCCTGTTCAAATGATAAAAAAAAGGTTTAAATAAAACACTTTAAGGTTTAAAAGCGATATATTAGGTTAACTTATTTGAAAATGATTTTTAACTTCGTCCCGACGTTTCGGATGCCTTGCAGCAGCCGTGGTCACGGGGAGACTGTTAAAAATCATTTTCAAATAAGTTTAACTAATATATCGCGTTTTAAACCGTTAAAGTGTTTTAATTAAATGTGTACTACTCGCGTAAACTATAGACAGTATTTAAAAAAAGGTTCTTCACAGAATATGTTTATCTTTTAAAATTAAGTTGCACGAATGGGACGCGGACGACGTCGTGGGTAACGCAGCGCAGCGGGGAATTTAAAGATGAGGAGGTTTGTAAAAACAAAATTTAGACGCCCAAAATAACCATCTATTCTATCTTTTAAGAATCAACTCTTATGGAAATCAAACTTGGTCGAAATTATTTATTCTAACATAATCAGATTTTGTGGAGAAACTATAAGGTATGAAGGTGATGCAGTGGGCGTTGGATAATCCGAAATCCTCCGCAAAAGCGGAAAGGGCGGATTGGTCAATGAATAATGTGGACAAAAAAATTTCACTAGCTGTGTCAGCGACTTCGTCCGCGTACCATAGGTTTGTTGGGCATCCAAATTTGTTTTCTGCAAACCTCTACATCCTTATCAATTTAAGCTGCCCACGGCGTCGTTCGGGTCGCCTCGTTCATGCAAGTCAATCTTAAAACGACAAATATAGTGACGCGAACGTATGTTTTCTGATCATTTAAAGAGAAATCATTCTTACATACATATTTTTTGGGTGGTCTTGAACCGTTTTCGCAAAGTACGCATCAGAAACCCACAGAGATGAAAAATTTCCCCCTTTTTAGTCTCATTTCCCGCTGAATCTTCGCTTCCATTAGGCACAGCGTTGCTATAGCCTACTTTTGATAAATATTTTTTCAATACGAACATATAATTCCTGAGATTAGCGCGTTCAAACAAACAAACAAAACAACCTTTGCCGAATCAGTTATTTTAGAGAATATACGAACCCGACATCGATCTTCAGCCAATGGATCATCACTAGCGATGGACTGGAGACTCTCTGAACTCGGCGCGAGCTTACTGCAGTCGAGTCGTGCGCTCTGCGCGTGCGTCGTCGCGGAGTACGCGTACACGTAGACGTCTGAAAAATAATATTATATAGAAGTTAAATAGAACGATTTTGACGGTTTGAAACGCGATATTGTTCATAATTGTTGCTTAGGTTCTGTCTTCGACTAGTCGAAAAACGTGCAAAGTTTCTTAACTAGCTCGTAAAGCCAATAACAGCAAAGTGGACTGGATTTTAATATTTTTTCAAAAGTGTAGGCCTTTAAGTCACGGTTGAAAAGTATTTATAATTCTTATGTACATCGTACGTATGGTACGATTATCTAAATTTTGCCTGGATTAGATTGTAATAGTATTTCGATTTCTGCTTCATTTCATATCTAAAGCCAAAATATATCGACAGCCCATCTTGCTATAACATCTAATTTGGCTGGGTTATTCCACCTACCATGAATTGAAACTCAATCATATCTGTCTCTATTATAAAAAAAACGAACTTCAAGAAAGAGATAGCGATAACATAATACATAATAAGCTAGAAAGAGACAGCTACTTACCGTTTTTACAAGCGGCAATAACAGTGGGAGCGTGGCACGAAGCAGCCAGGTGACCGAGGCGAGAGGGTCGCGCGGGGGGAGGTAGGCTCTCAGCAGCGCTCACCCCCTCTTCCGTTAGCGTGTACGTGTATAGGCCTTCACCACCCGCCCATACTTCCAGACTGAAAAAACCGATTACTTATTCGGTTAAGAACAACCTGTATACGCTTACACGGACAAAATGGAAGAAACACGTAAAAGTAAAAATTGAATTGTGCATGATGATGATGATGATGATGATGATGATGATGATGATGGTGATGATGATGATGATGATGATGGTAATGACGTTGGTTATGATGATGGTGGTGGTGGTGGTGACGACGATGATGATGATGATGGTAATGACGGTGGTTATGATGGTGATGACGATAATCCGTACCATTGACTGGTACGGAATATATAACATTTGTTTGACCGGCAAAAGTAATGGGTACGAAACACGAAGATGTTTTGTTTGGGTAGAACTAGAATAGACCACTAGATTTTTTAATAATGAAAAACTGAGTTCGGAATACATTTCAGAGTACAAGAATAATTACATAAATTGAATTATTAAGAAACATTTATATTTCGAGTTTTAAACCGTTAAAAGGTGTTTTATTTTTAATGTGGGCAGGACTAAAGGACCAAGAGTAAATGCCGGTTCAAGTCCTACGCGAGTCGTATTTATAGTCTATTTTTTAATTCTCATAATTTTCACTATCTGTCATGTAAAACAAAAAAAGTTTTGATATCACATTATAAATGTAATAACTAAACAAATATTCGTCGAGCAGTCGAGCAAACATGTCCTGATGATATCCGCTCGTGATGGCGAAACGTCGATAACCTCTTCTCGCTCGCGTCTCGAATACCAATTATATGCTGAACGCCTTACACAATATATTTATTTACTTACCCATTGTCGGTATGCACAGCTGTGAGGCAGTTGAGCTCGGTGGCTGTACCCAATTCGGTGAGAACAAACGTGCTTTCGGCTCGAGGACGTTCGCAGGAGACCAAAAATAATCTAAAAGAAGAGACGAATTGTCAACAGAAAGATTTAATACATTCCCCTTAAAAAATATATCAAAATATTTAAATATATATTCACAAAAAAATTGTTTGTTACTAACATACAAAATATCCTTAGATTTAAAAATATACTCATGGCACTATATTATATAATTATTATCAAAAAAAAAACCTTTTTTTATCATAAGAGTCAACTAGGTAAAACGCGAAATACCTCACACATTTAACATGTAGAGAAAATGCGCTGTCGGCCTTTGTTCGGAAATCCTTACGATTAAACTCCATGCTGCGATGACCTGACAGAATGTTGATATTTCTACCACCCATACAATATCCAGATTTCCAGATATTTGAACATATTGGAACCGAAGGGGAATCAAAGCCACGACTCTCTTAATTAGCCATAGATTCGTATGAGGCAAACATTTCTAAAAGATTGTATACATTCACTTGTCTGGAGTTTACGCGAGTATTACACATTTAAATAAAACTTTAAAACAATTTGACTTGCGAAAGGTACCTACGGCCCCCCACGTTTCTGATGCTCTGCAGCAGCCGTGGTCACGGAGAGGTCATCCCGCGCTCTAAACCGATAAATTGTTTTTTTAATATACCTGCCACACGACAGCGCAAGCGCAACCCTTCTCAAAGACTCAAGAGAACATAGGGCCGCCACGCTGGATCCACTCCCTCCGACTGTGTCGCAAACCTTCACACTCCACTGAAGACCACAATCTGATATCCTGAAGAAAACATAAGAAGCTTTCTAGACATCCATATGCCAGTATTTTATTCCCCACCCCACCGAAATTCTGTTTATCTGATTATGTAGTGCCTACATGTGCGATAACATAAAAAAATAACGGTTTAAAACGCAAAATATACAACATGAAATGATTCTAAGGCATAAAGCGTTTTAAACCGTTTAAGTGTTGTGTTTAAATTGTTTACGTATTTTTAGCAAAGACCCGGCTCTATATTTTACAACAGCCGCTATCACGGAAAATGTTTTATCATTTAAAAGTGTTTTTTATGTGATTCGCGTTTTAAACCGTTTAAAATGTCACGTTTACTTACGAGTACACAGACACTCGGCCGACTGAGTCTCCTAGCCACATCGTGTGACCGACGCGACACATCGCCGTCACTATAACTGGATCGGTTTTATCTAAAAAATATATATAATTAAAGCATGACACGGGACGGGACTCGAATCCACGACCAACAACATAATAATTCTCGACTAATCGATTATAAATATGATAAACAATATTCTTTCAAATAAAACACGTTTAACAATTTAAAACGCGACATATACTGACTTATTTGCACTTTGTTTTAAGTGCTATATAATATTAAGTTGACTAAAAAAAATAATAATACATTTGGAATTTTAAACCGTTAAAAGTGTTTGATATAATAATATTTATTGTATTACGTATATAATCTGGATATCTGGATATTAAATACCCATTTAGGTAGGAACCACAGTGCACAGAGAAAAAAGGCTGCGTTTCGGTTCCAATCTTTGGACTTCCGAATATCCAAAGCCACAATAGGTCACATCTTGTTTAGATGTTATATGGCTGGCGTATTTCACCTTCCATGAAATGAACCCCGCGATTGTCTATCATCCTTTATCATAAAGTATTACCTGGTGGTACAGTCAGCGAATGGTGATGATGGAAGGTGGTAGACGAGGTGATTAGTGTATGCGCACGCTCCGGTTCTGCGCCACCATACCAGATCTCCCAACCTTCGGAATTTTCGTCTGCAATAAAACATCAAAAGATAAAATTCCCCAAATTTTTCGGGTTGGGTTTTTCCCCCTCAGGTTCCCAATTTTTTTTTTTTTTTTTTTTGCTTAAGACTTCGTCCATTCCAAGACGGCAGGAATCTTGTCTGGATGTTATGGCTGAGGTATTTCACATAGAATCAAGTGTTCGTTTAAATAAAAATAAAACATCAAACGATAAAAAGTGTCAACAATCTTTCGTCGATCAGGTCACGTATTAGAATCAAGTGTATCCTATGCTTGTCTGGTCCCAAAGAATCAAACCGTGTTTCCATACTCACCGTTGATATGACTCAGAGGCGTTGCAGCAGCTGCTCTCGCTTGCCTTATAACGGCTGCATCGCGCAGCGAGAGGAACTCCGGCGCAGCTGCAACAGCAACCAGTGCTGCAGCGGACGGCCTCAATTCTGGAGCCCCGCTCCAGCAGCGGCGCATCGTCTCCAGCATGCTGCACGGGTATTGCAGGTCCTGCGAATTATGATAGGGAGTTGAATATCCAAAGCCAATATAGTGGCGGCAGCGATTCTTGGCTGGGGTATTTTACCTTCTTATAAAAAAAAAAAAACATAACTTTTTAGTATACTAACGTAATTAAATATGTAATAAAACACACTTTAACCGTTTAAAACGCGAAATATATTAGTTAAACTCAAACAGTATTCATTACAAGTTTAGAAATAGTAAAAACAGTCACAAATGATAAAAATAATAATTGAGTTCATTTAAAAAATAACTTTTTGAACATAAGTCACGTGACACAAAACACTCCTGATTGGTCGGGCCTGTGACGTCACTTGCTTATAAACAGTGCTATAAGCCACCGTGCTTCCAACCAAGTGTTGAAACCGTTCTATTATCTGCATTAATACATTTGCATCTCATTTGAATAATTCGACTCTTAAAATGTAAATGTTTGGTACAAATGCGTGTTAATTGTAGATCGTATGATCGACATACACCAATGGCCAACATAAGCTCGTGACGTCAGTCTAGTATTGGAGCGTTACTTCGCATAATTTGCGTTAAGGGGCGCAATTTAAATGTTGGATTTTGAATTTATACTAATGTATACCGCTGAAGAGTATGTTTGAACGCGCTATTCTGACGAACTAGTAGTTTGAATTAAAAAAAATATTTTTGTGTCGGTTAGAGCATTTATCGGGAAAGGCTATAAAACGCCGCAGTGACAAGGATAATATAATTGAATAGGAGTGAAGGAAAAACTGGAAATGTGATTTTTCACATTTCCAGTTTTTAATTTTTTATTCAACTTTGTGGGTATCCGCTATGAAATATAATGATAGAATACCCATATACTTTGTACGAAATATTGATGCCCCTATAAATGATCTGAAAAAATGTCTGCGACACTATATGTCTTTTTTTAAGATTAACTTGAAAGTACGACGGTACGCGACCGATATATATATATACTGTCACTTACCCTGGGTGACAGAGGGGGTCTGGCCCCTTCCAGCACTGCCTCCTTGACTGCCTCGTGACCTTCAAATGGCTGCCGCAGCGTGAATATTTCGTACAATAGCATACCGAAGGAGAAACAGTCAACCTGGAAAGGATACAATTTTTGTGGATAGTTTATATTTTTCCAAAAATGGAGGATTAAGCATGATGATCATTTGGTGCAATGTGAAATTCGCGAGGCATATAACATCTAAAAATTATGAGCTACGATCGACCTACTTTGGATATAGACATTCAGGAATCCACAGACTGAAACCGCAACTTGACGGCTTTCATCTGTGGACGGTGGTTCGTAACCAGGACAGAATTGGAAAAAAACGATGGCAAAAAAAATCTCAGTTGGTGAACAGCACGGAACAGCCTGCTAGGTTCGAGTCTTGCTTGTGTCGTCGGGTTTTTTCAGTCTGCATACATTTTTAATTTATGTTCTATTCTTTGTTTTGGTGCGTTTTTGTTCCTTGTTTCATAAAGTGATACTAATATTCTGTCCGTTTAACTAATCGGTTCTTTTACAGGCAAGCGGTTGATCAGAGTGTCTTAACCGTCTATTGTGTCCCCAGGATATGAACCCAGGACCTCTCGCGCTTAACGCAAATCTAGGCAACACGTTTAACCATTTGGTTACAGTTTTTCGTATAATAGAGAACAGACTAGCACTCTCTTTACTTGATGGTAGGTGATATACAGCCTATAGAATCTAAACAAGATCGACCCGTTTTTGGCTTTGGATATTCGGAAATCCACAGACTGAATCCGAAACGCGATTAAACTTCACCGCATCTTCATCTGTGTGACGGTAGTTCGTGACCTCCAATTTAATATCTAGATTTCCAGACGATGTTCCAGAAGAATTATAAATGGAAAAATTAGAAACGATCCGCCCAAAAATGTTTGTATGGTTGTCATGGCAACGAACTTGAAAAATAATCTAATAAACGTCATTAAACCCCATAAAACTCTGAGATGATGATGAGATTATAACCCACCTTTTCAGTATACTCCTCCTCACCATTGTACCTCATTATTTCTGGCGCCATAAAGCCTTCAGTACCACCAAATCCCTTGGTGCCGGAAGGTGGAGCTAGTCTAGATATACCTGCGGGCAACCATTTAATTTATCACCATGCATCTAATAATATATATAATACACCGTTTCAAACCGCACAAATTGAGCTACCGTGACACCATAGCTCAATGGGTTCTAGCTAATCTGTCACTATAGCTCAGTTAGGTAGAGCAACAGCAAGGAACGCTGTGGGTGCCGGCTCAATTCCTGCCCCTACCATTTTTTAAATCTAAAATCGATTTTCCATTTATAGAATACCATCATGTGAAAAATACTAAAGTTTTCAAACACTTTTCGCTTGAGTTTCAAATTAATTATCATGTACTAGCTGTGCCCGCGGCTTCGTCCGCCTGGAAAAGTAACTTGGGGTAGAATTTTTAACTATTTAGACTGTTGAATTTATGTATGTCGAATTTATGTAAGGGCGCATTTAAGGCAACCGATCTATGTCGTAAGTGCTACTTTGCCGCAACACTCTCACCTCCATTTTTGAGACTTACCGTAATCTCCCAGTTTGACGTGAACTTCTATAGGATCCGGGCTATTTTCAGAGACCCGAGCCTCGGCTGGTGCGGGGAACGACCAGACAAGTACGTTCTCAGACTAGAAGTAAAATAAAAATAATTAATAAACTAAGGACAAAGGAATTCTTTACATTTTTAACAACGACACACACACAACATAGGGATGAATAATTTTCCCCGTTTTTTTTTTACATTTCCCGCTCCTATTAGTCGCAGCGCGATGTTTCATAGCCTTCCTCCAACCCAAAAATATTTAAAAAAAAACCATATTCCTTAGTTTAGCGCGTCAAACAAACATAAACACTCTTCAGCTTTATATATTAGTATAGATGTATATTGTTCGAACGTGGCCAAGGAGGAATTTCGATAGGTGGTTGTCTATATACCTTGGCCAACGATTTCTAGTTAAGTGGTCCCCGGGAGGCCCTGGGTTTGAATTTTGCGAAAACAAACTATTGTGTCAGTCAAGGTCAGCCCGGGCAAGTCTAATCGACTACTTGGTTTTAAATAACATCGATCAGTATAACGGACACGCAAATGTGTTCGCCCCATGCCCTATCGGCTTAAATGTAGTTTTACGCGTTGAAAAAATATACTTAACAGATTGAATCTTGATATATATAGTAAATATATTTTATTTAACCTTAACTTCCAGAACATTTGCAGCAGGCATGTTCCTTCCGAGACAGTAGCTAAAAATCCTTTTCTAATACCTATACGTACCTATAATACATTTAATTGAACACTTTAACGGTTTAAAACGCAAAAATATATGAGTTAAACTTATTTGAAAATTATTTTTAATGCGGCCGGGCGTTTCAGATGCTTTGCGGTATCCGTGGTCACGGGTAGACAAGTTTAACTAATATATTTCGCGATTTATTTAAATGTGTACTACTCGCGTAAACTATAGACAGTATTTACCTACTTACATACCTTTAAATCTCTATATAGCACCCGATGCGCGTGTAAATATTCAAGCGCTCGCGCAAGTTGTAGCGTCAGCGCGCGCGCAGCCCTCGCGCCCACTCGAGCCCCACAACCACGGTAGCCACGCAGGGTATTTTCTAAGGAACCCTGAAATCAAAATTAGTCACGATAACACTATTTAAACGGCACAAACAGACAAACATAGAATTTACTACATAGAAGGTGGAATATAGAATCTAAAAAAAAAAATATTTTGGCTTTGACCGAGATCGCGCTTAAACTCCACGCTTTTTGAATTGTGGCCGAAGACTCAAAAGTATCCTTCTATAAACCTTTTCTTCTAAATCCTTCTATACAAAAAAGATATGTCTGCGATCTATACGATCGCAGACATATCTTTTTTGTGATATAGAAGGACAGTAAAGAATGATGATCACGATGGTAGATCAAATAACCCACTGATATAACATCTAGACAATATGCGCTGGCGATTTATTTTGGCTTCGTATATCTGGCAATGCATCGACTGAAAACGCGATTAAACTTCGATGATCTGTGAACGCTGGATCGTAGCCCAGATCGTAGCCCAGATCGTATCCAGATTACCAGACAAGTGCAACCTGTTTCAACAACATTATAAATGAGCTCGTAAACATCAGAATTATGCGTATGTACCTGTGGAGCGATCGCCAGAAGCAGAGCCAACGGTGCTGGACAAGCGGCCAGCAGCGGAAGAACGTGTGGATGCCGCAGACGGCTTAAGATGCCCAGCTCTTGGCGTAGGCCGCAGTATGCTCGACAAGCAGCAGCCAGCGGTTCCCGCTCCCAACGAGACACCGCCGCCTGTTTGACATAGAGGCCTGTATCTATACTAATATATAAATCGAAAGAGTTTGTTTGTTTGAACGCGCTAATCTCGGGAACTACTGGGCCGGTTTAAAATAATCTGTTTTGTGTTAGAGCTAAGAAGAGCCGAGAAACGCTTTAGGCTACATCACGCTGTGGCCAATAGGAGCGGAGAGACTGTGGGAAATATTGAAAAACGGGAAAAACCGTCCACTGAGAGTTCCCCTTGCAGTTTCCGTCAGTCTGTAACGGTTTACAACGCACAATGTATTAGTCAATTTTTTTGTTTCTAATTGATCGCCTTTAAACGCGATATAAATTAATTACCGATTCAAGTTATTTAATATATTTCGCGTTTTAAACAGTTAAAAGTGTTTTTTTTTTTTACTACGCGCGTGTACACGCTAATATGTATCTTACCTTATAAGCAGTAAGAGCTGGTATAGAGTGGGGTTGCGCCGGCACAGGTTGTAACGCTTTAAGCGCGACCCTCTTCGGCTCTGACCCAGGCGGTTTCCACGTACCGGCCACCACGGTACCAAACGCCCCACGACCCACCACGTTCCCCAGTGTTATGTGCTCCCAGCGAGCGCGTTTCGCATCTTCCACATCGAGAAGAAGCTGGAAAATACAAATTAAATTCTCATCATGTATATAGAATCAATAAAGATTTTTTTGTTTTGATTTAAATAAAAAAATTAAACGGTTTAAAACGCGATACATATTAGTTAAACTTTTAGTTGAGCCGGACCACGAAGAGCCAGTCTCTCCACGACCACGGCTGCTGTAGGGAAAACTAATTTTAAATAAGTTTAACTAATATATATCGCGTTTTAAACCGTTAAAGTGTTTACTCGCGCAAACTACAGACAGTATTGAAAATATATTTTTCAAAAAAAACAGAACCATAACTCACCACATCTGGTGCGACATCCGCCAATTCAATGTCCGCATGGTGTTGGCAGACCAGCCGTTTGCCAGTACATCCGGCCAGGATACATTCCTCCAGTGTCCAGCATTCACCCACTATCGAACTACGCTGTACACCTTCCACGGAACCCAGGCGAGATGAGGCTAAAAAGGTCATATCAGATCAGCATGGGGACTATATCAAATTTAAAAATGAATCTTAAGACTATTGTAAAAACGCCTTAACGGTTTAAAACGCGATAAGTAAAAGTTATTTTAACTACGGCCTATTACCAAAGTAGGTTAACTATGGAGGGTGTCCCTAATGTCAAAGTCAAAACTGCTACGCTAACACCATCTGTTTCGTCGTAGTTGATATTCGGGTAACTTTCCTGGATGCTAATAGAACTCACGATGTCTTCTCATTAATCGGTATCAATCCAAAACGTCGGGCCGTCATTAACGTAAGTGATTTTTATATGTCACGTTTTAAACCGTTAAAAGTGTTTTATTTGAACCTGTACTACTCGTGATCTACAGCCAATACTTAAGTGTATATCCAAACTTACAAACAGATTCGTTCCCAACTCCACTGTCCCTGTCCGAAGCCCTGGATTCTTCGGATAGGCGAAGCCTTCTTGGCTCGTTGTTACCCAGTTCTAGTCGTTTCAGTGCCTGAAATAAAAAATATAGATCTCTGTAATGATCTCTTATCTTCTATCTTATAAACCTTTGAAAGAATTTGAACCATAAGAGGCGTGTTTAGGTTGAAATTACATCGCGCGAGAGCTCATGTATATATTGAGGCAAAGTTTAATGATCCAAATAAAACACTTTAACGGTTTAAAACGCCATATATTAGTTAAACTTATTTTAAAATTAAATTGAAAAAAAAACTGAAAATGAGCCGTGGTCACGGGGAGACTCACGGCTGCTGCAAAACGTCCGAAACGTCGGGCCGAAGGCTGAACTTAAAAATCATTTTCAAATAAGTTTAACTGATATATCGCGTTTTAAACCGTTAAAGTGTTTTATTTAAATGTGTACTACTCGCGTAAACTATAGAAATATTTAGTCTTATAATTATCAGTATTATAATTATTGTATTTATTTTCGTGTCCGCCTCGTAGCCTTTTTAACACGTTACTTAGCATATCGTGAAGATGTCCTCGATTTGAGTCCTAGGGGAAGCAAGAGATTCTTTTGGTCTGGCAAGACACAGAACTTCGACCTAAGACTCCCAACGGTTAATGGAATTTCATTAACAACTAATTTCCTTAGGTATCTATGATTTGACTGCAATAACCCAACTGACCTGAGCCAAGTTATTCTCGTGCATATCAGCATGTGGTAGTACCAAGTGTGGTGGGATGTTATTCTGCAAGAGGGTAGCATCACGCAAGCAAGCGGGGCAGGGCACGACCCTCGTTATCAGACAGCGACCTTCAGAAGTGTGTACGAAGCGGGTACCTAGAAAAAATAAATATTAGCCACGCCCCATACTGCGCTTGCGCACCAACCAAAAGAGGGTTTGCCCTATAGATTAAAAACTAAAGGTAGTGAATCCTAGCCCCGTTCGTATTCTTTTTATAAAATGGGTAAAAGAATACTACGTGAACTAGATTATGAATTTTCAACCACGACCCGACGTTTTATAGTAGTCGGGCTTTATTTATTTGGTTCATTGTATCTTTCACACAGACGAAGACTATAGCTAAGTAAAAAAAACACAATTTTTTTTTATATTCTTCTATGTCTAGGAACACTACATGGCATGGACATGGACATAGATGGCAGTACATCATTAAAGAAAAGAGTCTATATATATATAAGCAAAGTTTTACCAAAATTGGTCAAGTCGTTTCCGCTGGGCCACTCTTTCAAAACTTTAGTTATTCATACATACATTAGCATGCCTGTTCGTAAATCGCCACGTCAAACAAGACAAAACGAGAAACTAACCGAGCGATGGGTACCAATCTTCTAGCAGCAAATCCAGAAGATCGGAGACTAACGCCAACACTCTGGCTAGAACTGCTGGATTGGGTTCCAAAGTTATACTCTGCAAAAAATATGAGCTTCATTATAGTTCTTCATCATCATCATCATCAAGTCCGCGACACTATATGTCTATCTTTTAAGATTAACTTGCAAGAACGACGGGACGCGACCGACGTCGTAAATGCCAGCTACAGTTTAGGATGCTGAGGTTTGCAAGAAACAAATTTGAATACCCAAATATTCTATTCTACGCGGACGAAGTCACTGACACAGCTAGTATTAGCGTGAAAGTATAGATAGCTTTGTATCCTGATAAGCGGTTCTTACTGTCCCTCCCGTAGAATAGTAGCGTTGTGACCTTAAATTGTGCTGATTGGATTCCCACCTGGTATCCAGCCAGAGGCAGTCCGTCCTTCCGCTTTGCAACACACGCTTGAGCCGGCAAAAGGATTTCTATACACGCCGATGTTTGCATATCCAACTCACACCAGACACCCTCTTGACGGACGCGAAACCTGAGTAAACTTTGAGTAAAATGTTGAGCGATGATAGCTGATAATCAACGGGTGGTGGGTTCGACTACCACCGGTTCCAACATGTTTAATGCGATGAAAACACTTTAACGGTTTAAAACGCGATATATTGATGTTTTGCAGTACGGGGAAATTCCCCGTGACCACGGCAGCTGCGAAGCATCCGAAACGTCGGGCCGAAGTTGATTCTTTTCAAATAAGTTTAACTAATATGTATCTTTTAAACCGTTAAAGTAAGTTTTATCTAAAAGTGTACACTCGCGACAGATTTTAACATGTTCCTAATAAATTTATAATTTTTCTTAAACTGTTAGTTAAATTTTGTCAATCTTACTACTCCACGATTTGTTACTTTTTTTACCACCACATTCGATACCAAACACTTTCTGTAGTTTAAACACACAGTTCACATTAAAAAACACTTTAACGGTTTAAAACTCGATATATATTAAATTGTCGGTCTGTAGTTATAATAATTAAAAAAAAAAAAACTAATATGTATCGCGTTTTAAACCGTTAAAGTGTTTTATTAAAGCAAAATAAAAAGGCATGCTAAGTAAGTAACGTAGGTGACTAATAATATTTTAAAATACACAACACACATTCGCCTTATATGTAGCAAAAATATATCTCAGTTAATCACTCCATAGAACTACATGACCGACCAAAGCCATTTATAAGCCGTGAGATTAAAAAACCGTCAATTTTGATCGCGTTGCTGTTACAGTCTTTATTTCAACATATCCCAAACCAAAAGGTGGAGTGGATCTTCTGTAGAATTTATAACGGGCTTTTAACTACCATCAAGGTTACCCGATGCTTGAATGTTCCCTTTTAAGTCACATGATCATTATTTAAATAAAACACGTTAAACCGTTTAAAACGGGTAATATAATAGTCAATAGCTTACGCTAAGAGCTCAGACCTTTTGCCCTAATAATTTTGTATCGTTTTGAATAAAAAAAACAGAAGCTGGTAACCTCATGTGATGATAAACCTCCTCAGTATCGACATCATCAGCCAAGCTTCCCAGCAACGGGTCCCGCGTGGGTGATATTTCCCTCAAAGACAATAAAGTCAGCTGACCGCAGACCAGCTTGACACCCGTCTTCCACACCTTCCACGACCAGTTGAGTTCCAGGGCTTTCGATAGGTTGTCGTCTGGTTCGATCTGGTTAATGGTATATTACTTAAAAACGGTTTAAAACGCGAAATGTTAGCTAAACTTTTTTAGTATTTATTTTTACTCGGGTCATTTCGGATGCTTTGCAGCTGCCCTGGCCACGGGGGGACTAAAATTGGATATTTATTTTTGAATAAACGAAAAAAAAACAGAAATGTCACAGTCTATATCAGGAATTAAAAGCAAGAATTTAGTACAGACTTACTTTCAGAGATAAAAGTTACGACGGTAATGAAAAATGTTTAACGGTTCAAAACGCGAAATGTATAGTTTACTTATTTACAATTTATAATAGGACATTTCGAATGCTGATATTCTGTGGCCCCCAACAGGCCGAGCCAACACTAAGCGATTAATTTAAATAAAACACTTTAACGGTTTAAAACGCGATATATATTTAATTAAGCTTAAAATTAACTAACATATATTGCGTTTTAAACCGTTAGTGTTTCATTTAATTGTGTACTACTCGCGTAAATTACAGACAAGCGATACATTTTGACATTTCGTCTATTAGGTATTTAATTTACCTCCTGCGGTATCTTGTACAGGTCGGGGGCTGTGCCCCCCAGAGCGCTGTCAGCAAGGAGCCTCGCGCACAGTCTTGCCCAGAAGCCACAAGGAACGTAAGACATCAGCAGGATCCGACGAAGTGATCTGCCACTGTCTCGGCAAGTCAGAGATATCCCCCAACCGCAGTCCTCTGAAAAATAGATTATAGTCTGTGGATATCCTAAGCCAATATGAAAATATTTCTGTACTAACTGTGCCCGCGACTTCGTTCGAGTGGAATAGTGACATGGAGTGGAATTTTTAATTATTTAGGCTGTTTATTAATTTATGTAATTGCGCATTTATCCACAGCCAATGTATCCTCCATCCCTTCATCCTACTGTAACTCCTACCCACTCTCACTCCTATTCCCAAAACAAAGAAGAAAGTTTATTGTTCTAGCTTTAAAAATACGAGTTTCCATACAAACTTTCATCCCCATTTTCAACCCTTATTTGGCATTAAAAAGTAGCCTATATCCTTCCTCAGGCTCTACAATATCTGTGTGCCAAATTTCATTGAAATCAGTTCAGTAGTTTTGGCGTGAAAGAGTAACAGACAGACAGAGGTACTTTCGAATTTATAATATTAGTATGGATTGAAATAGCTGAGTAAAGTTTTGAACCGTTAAAAGTGAAAAAAATGTCCCCCCCCCCCCCGTGCTGTTCTAGCTGGATGTTACTTACGAGTGAGTGGGGCTTCTGAATTTCTTATCTCGTCGCAGGTAGACAACGTGTTCGAGAACATTCTGCGCGGCGTTCCGGGCCACGTGCGTAGTTTTAGGGCGAGCTGGACACAAATAAAATCTATACTAATATTTTAAGCTAAACGTTTAGCTTAAGCTTGTTTTAACACGCTATAAAACATCAGGCTGCGACTAATAGGAGCGAAGATATAGTGGACAGTGTGGAAAAAAAGTGGAGAGTTATTTTTAGTTCAAAATACCAAAGAATACGTATACAAGAATAATTCTTTTATAAATAACCTTCAAAAAGTCCGTAAAAATATGTCTGTTTTTTTAGGATTAACTTGCAAGAACGACAAATGTCGTTGGTAAGAGCTATAATTCATAGAGATGAGGAGGAGGTATGCAAAAATACATTTTGATGTTTAAAATAACTCGGGCGAAGTCACCGGCACAGCTTGTTAGCGATAATTTGCCACAATTAGATAGAAGTTAAAATAGAAAAATAAATATAAAAATATCTAGGTTTGATTCTTGTCTAATTTTTTTACGATATCGTAGGTGGATATATTATGTTGTTACTTAAATGATACTATCATTTAATCTTATAAAAATTCTATAATATATAATGTCTGTAGTTTACGCGAGTACCAGATATAAATAAAAACACTTTAACGGTTCAAAACGCGATATATATTTGTTAAACTTAATAAATTTTTTTAACTACGGCCCGACGTTTCGGATGCCTTGCATAGTGACGGGATGATCCGTGTCTCCTATTAATATATGTCGCGTTTTAAACCGTTTAAGTGTTTTATTTAAATACATTTATACTGATGAAAGTTGAAAAAATTTCAAAATAATATTCAAGTTTTTTGCAGACACTACAGAAGTGCCACCGATCTTTTTCTGCGGACGCTACCTGCGGCTGCGGCTGCGCTGGTTCCGTAGCGGGGAGTAATGGTGGTACAAGCAACGCGCGCCCGTCCCAGCAGAGCGCCAATTCGAACTTGTTCAGCAACGACATCCCAAGAGATCTGGCTTCTTCTCCCCCACCCAGAGCTGGTGACGCTTTGAACACATGAGCTAGGTCCTCCACTTTCATGATACCTGGTGAAAAATTATGACAGAGCTTTGGTGTAATGGTAGCAATGTATGACACTTTAACGGTTTAAAACGCGATATATTAGTTAAACTTATTCCAAAATTATTTTTAACTTCGGCCCGACATTTCGGATGCTTTGCAGCAGCCGTGGTCACGGGGAGATCACGGCTGCTAGTTTAACTTATATATCGCGTTCTAAACCGTTAAAGTGTTTTATTTAAATCATTAATTTTCTTCTTCTTGCTATTCACACTCACCATTATTAGCAAATGGATTTATTTCGCGTACAGTAACAACGTGGGCAAGGATATCGCAGAGCCACTGCGGACGAAGGAAGTACAACTCCTTCAGAGTAGCATCATCATAGTGGAGGAGGACACCTGTTCCAAAAAGAGTTTCAAATTTAAAGTACATTTTTAGTGATGGAAATTACACGATCGTACTAGCGTAGAAGTTTTAAGATTTGGAACAACATCTATCTTTGGGGACATACTGGATATGACTAAGAGTTAAATAAAACGATTCTTAAAGTATTATCCCTCTTTAGTTATTTATAAAAACACTTGTAACAAAGCAACTAGTGTTTGAGCAAGAGTTAAAGGGCGAAGTCGTCGTCGTCGTCGTTCCCCCCCCCCCGTCTTTGTCATAACCTACTTACAACTAGAAAAACCCTAGTCACTTGATAAAAACTATGGAAGTAACTATGGACATTGAAAATAAATGTAATCTAGAAGTTTTACCATTCTCGTGTAGAAACATAGTCGCTTGGTGTAGTTCCGCAGCGTCTCTGAACATCTTCAAATTCTTCGCCTGCATATATTGCGTCACCTGTCAATAGATCAGTCTTATGTCACTATCCTATATCTAATGGCAGAATCCATTTAAAATGGAGAAGCCAAATTAGGAAGAAGAAGAAGCCAGCCTAAATAAAGCTAGTATCGCAATTGTTCAGAAGCTTAGTTGAGGATTCCGGTTTAAGTTCCCACCGTGTTAAAGGATTTGTCAAAAATATTTTTTAATTAAATAATGCCTCATCATATGCAATAACATGTAAAAAATTATAATGTTTTTAAATGTTCACTTTACCGATTTAAAACGCGATATATATTAGTGAAACTTTTTTGAAAATTATTATACCTATGGCCCGACGTTTCCTAATAATTTTAACTAATATATATCGCGTTTGAAACCGTTAAAGTGTTTAATTTAAATGTGCAAAATTCGAGGAAACTACACATCGTTAAATAATATTTCGACGGTAGCTAAACAAGTTAACTAATATATATCGCGTTTGAAACCGTTAAAATGTTTTATTTAAATGTGCACTACTCGCGTAAACTACAGACTACTGTTCCAGAAATGTTTTCAAAATATAAATTATACCAACCAATCGTCTATACTGTTCGTGTCTTAGAACAGGTTCCTTCAACTCAGTGGACAAAGCACTGACACACTCTTCTAGTGCTAGGTACGTAGCTGGAACGCGCTGTTCCAGCATCGGTTCTTTGCTGCCTGAAAAAACAAACAAACAATCAATCAATAAATAAAAATTGCTATATACGTTATGGAAAAAAAGATTAGCAAACTTTACCCTTTGTAAAAGGGGGGTTAAGTTGAACCGCGTATGGTTTCTGAATATCTAAAGCCACAATAGGTCGAGAGTGCATCTTGTGTTATATTATGTGTGATAGAGTTGTGAATCTCAACCACGTCTTGGTTTCGGTCTATACATTTTCAAAGCCAAAATAGGCCGCCAGCGCATCGTGTTTACAAGTTATATTATGTGTGGAATTCAACCGCGTTTCGGTTTCATTTTGTGTTTCTTCTGTTTTTAAATATCCAAAGCCAAAATAGGCCGCCAGCGCATCGTGTTTACAAGTTATATTATGTGTGGAATTAAACCGCGTTTGGGTTTCATTTTGTAGGTTTTTAAATATCCAAAGCCAAAATAGGCCGACAGCTCATCTTGTTTAGATGTTGTATAGCTGGGGTAGTTCACCTACGATCAAGTGACATCAGCTTGTCTGTCTTCTTATATCATAAAAAAAAATGTTTAAATACGGAACCCTAAAAATACTGTAATTCGATTAATATAATAACAGACATACCTGGAGGCTTAACACTGTATGCAACAGAATAAATAATATCGGCTAACAATTTGATATTGTGTCGAGTACTGCACGATACCTAAAAATACAAATTTCACTTGAATAACATATTAATGTCCCACAGCTGGGCACTGTCTCCTCAGACCTAAAACCCACCACGCCATTTATAAGCGGGTTAGTAACAAAATAAAATTACTTAATTAATTAAATTCCTTTTTGAACTAAGCCCCCCCCCCCCCACCACGGTGCTTAGGTAACTGAATTGGTGGAGGTGATGCATGACATACTATGGTCGTAGATTCGTAGAATTTTTATTTATTACAGATTAATTTTGCATAGGTAAAAATAATGATTTTGTAGGTTTCGATAAAACACTTTAACGGTTTAAAACGCGAAATATGTCAGTCAACTTTATTTAAATTATTTTAACCACGGCCTGACGGTTGCGTACGCCCGATGCTTTGCAGCCGTGGTCACGAGGGGGACATTTTTAAATTAGTTTAAGTAATATATTTCGCGTTTAAAACCGTTACTTTTATTTAAATAACGTTCTCCTTTTGGAAATCTAAAAATTTTTAAATTAGTTTAAGTAATATATTTCGCGTTTAAAACCGTTACTTTTATTTAAATAACGTTCTCCTTTTGGAAATCTAAAAACAAACAATCTCGTTGCCATAGCAACGGCTTACCTCGATAGTATCTAGCACCCGCGGTAGCCCCAACTTATCTGCGTCTGGGGCTCCCATAACGCTGCCGCGGATGAGTCTCTGAAGGGCCATGGGGCTTTCGCTCTCTGGTAAATTGCTCTGAAATAAAAAAAAAAATTAACGGTTTAAAACGCGAAATAGTCGGTTGCTTTGCTGTTGTCGTGGTCACGGCTGCAACGACAGGTCTTAGTTAAAATAAATCTCATACAAAGTCAAATTATACTATATGACGCGTATTAAACCGTTCAAAGGGTTTTATTGGAAGGGTGAAAAAAAAAAAAAAACCAAAAAAAAAAAAAAATTTAAAAATTCTTATATTTTTTTTTTTTTTTTTTTAAAAATTGGGGGGTTTTAAAAACAACCGATATAATTTATGTTTTAGATAAAATAGTTAAAGAAATAAAGAAGAGAAAGTATCCGATATGTAGTAGGGTAGTAATATAATACTGTCTGCACTTTTCAATTAAAACTCAACGGTTTTAAACGCGAAATGTATTAGTTTAGTATCCCACCTCACGAGCTGTTACGCCACTGGTTATAGTTAAAATAAATTGTAACTAAGATGACTAATAAATACATTTCACATTTTAAACCGTAAAAAGTGTTTTATTTAAATGGTAGCATATTCCGCGTTTTGAACCGTTAATTTTTTTATTTAAATTAGCTCTAATGATATAGGACGGCTTGCATGGACTAATACTCACATTAATTACTTGATCGTAATGTGTCCCGACCATAATCACGGGAGAGCCAGGGGCGCGAGCTTGTATAGACCTGAAGAGTTCAGTATATTATCGTTATACATTTCACACGTAGGTATATAAGCTATCTATGTTTAGTAATCTACGGATCGTGGATTCGATTCCCGCCACCATGTCTGTAATCAATTCTGTGAAACATGTCGGGATTTCGATCAAAGCCGTCAAGTTTAATCTCTTACGGTTCCAGTCTTTGGATTTCCGAATATCCAAAGCCAGAAATAGGACGATAATTGATAGGAATCGAAATTATAGACTTGTCTGTCTTTCTCTGTCATAAATATTGTATATATTAATTAATAAAATGTCGTAATATTATTTATTTTAACATGTTTTAGTACACGATAGCGTTTTAAAAATAAAAATGTACTTTAGAGAAGTCAAAAGAAGGCAAATTCTTAATTAGATGAGCACAGTAGAGCTACAATAATGTTCGTAGGTTCGACACCCGCACGTGTTATCAATAAATCAATAAAGAAATTTAGTAAATAAAATAAATAGTTATTTTAGACTGAACTAAATGGCAACCTTAGCCACTGCAGTGCTGAAGCCAGGCCCTTCTTTCCATCTGGAACCTTCCACACCACCAGATACAGGGACCGGCGAGACAGGAAATATTGATGGGTAGAATAATATCTGTAAACGTATAAAAAAAGTATTTAAAAACGAATGATTGTTACTGGCTGTAGTTTACGCGAGTAGTATACATTTAAAACACTTTAACGGTTTAAAACGCGATATATTTTAGTTAAACTTGTGTTTGCCGTGGTCACGGCTGCTGAATCCGAAACGTCGGGCCGTAGTTAAAAATAAGTTTCAAACAAGTCTAACTAAATACTGTCTATAGTTTACGCGAGTAGTACACATTTAAATAAAACACTTTAACGGTTTAAAACGTGATATATAGTCTCCCCGTGACCACGGCTGCTGCAAAGCATCCGAAACGTCGGGCCGAAGTTAAAAATCATTTTCAATAAGTTTAACTATCTATTGATCTTAATAATACTGTAATTCGATAAATGTAATAACAGACATAATATATTATAGAGTTTTAAACCGTTTAAGTATTTTATTTAGAAGTTTAACTAATTTAAAAACCGAAAATTAATTGAAAAAAATTTCGACTCGGGCAGGAGTCTCTACTTTGTTCTTCGAGTTAACTCGGTAGCTCAATTGGTAGAGCAACAGCACGGAACGCTGACGATGCCGGTTCAAGTCCTGCCCGAGTTGAAAATTTTTTAAATTTATTTTCGATTTTTAAATTATATAATGCCTTCATATGCATGTAAAAAATAACAATGTAAAAATTAATAAAGTTTTCAAGTTTAGACTATAAAAGATACCGCGTTTTAAACCGTTAAAGTGTGATGTAAATTATTTAAATAAATGATTGCTCTTTAAACGATCTACTCGTAAAAAAAATATCCGTGACAGTATGTGTCTATCTTTTAAGATTGACTTGCAAGAACGAAGGGACGCGAGCGACGTTGGTAAGAGGTTCGCAAAAACAAATTTTGATGGCCAACTATTCTACGCAATCACTGTGAAGTTAAACGGATTCAAACACAATATAATTACCACCTTTAGTTTATTTTCGTTCTATGTATAATTTTTTTACATAGCATTAATTTAATCACGTCTTGGGGATTCAAACCCACGTCCTCCCTTAACTCTTAACAATCGAACCAAAGTTTAAAAAGTCCTACAATGTCACCCTATAACCATGGTGAGACGCCAGGTATTTTCAATTACTCATGCTAGATGGCGCCACACGTTCTAAGGACATTCCTGAATCGCGCTTTCAATGTTGAACGCAGTTCGTATATGGATTTGAGCAGATGAATTACTAGGCATCACGAACCTTAAAGGTCGTGGGTTCGAATCCTATGAATTTTTGAAAGCGAACTCTCACAAGTTTTATGAGTAGGGCGCTATTTATTCATTATTAATAAATCTATGAAAGTAAAAAACAATTCAGACGGTTCAAAACGCGTAAAATATTACTTAACTTTGGCATTAAACACTGTAACGGTTTAAAACGTGTAAACTAATTAGTCAACTTAAGAAAAATTAAATCTACGTGTCGTACGTACGGCCCGACGCGGCCAAGAACCGAGGTTCGACTCCCGCTCGGATAGTTAAATATTTAAATTCTTAACTTACTCGTGTTGCCCTCCAAAATCCCAAGTACTAAAAGTGACAGGTCCGCGAGCAGCGCGTTGCGGTTCAAAGACCCACCAGCCTATATCCACGCCCACTGTGGACATGCCGCGCGTGCTACGGTTGCCCATACGCTTGGCCCAGTGCTGGGAAAGACATAAGATAAATAAAAAAAACTATCACTCGAAAGAACTCAGCGCAGTATATTTATACAAATTTTATTTAACTAATCTATAGATCATGTTTATTTTAAATAAAACCAAAAAAAACGGCCTAAAACAAAAATGTTTATTTCAGGCCACCAATAGACTGTTACATGAGAAAATAATGTCCAGATTCAATAAATATAATTTCCAATATTTAAAAAAAAACTTATCTATGTTGTTTGTTTTTGGCCTAGAATAGTATGGAGAGTGGACAATAATTTTTTGAACCATAAAAGAACACAGCTCAAATGCATATACACAAAATAATTTATTGCAAGTTCACATCAAATAAAACAGTTTTAACCATTTAAAACGTGAATTTTAATATTTAACAACTACACGACGTTTCGGTTAGATTTACAGCAGAGACCGTCACAAAAAACTGGTAGATGTTAAATATTAATTAACATAATATAGTTCGCGTTTTAAGCCGTCTAAATTGTTTTATTCAACTATGGCAGATTATACATAGATAATATTTACATCTGTGGGCTTCCTTCTGTGCTGTATGGCAGACTCCTGGCGGAGGCATTCTAGCAGACTGGTCTTTCCAATACCCTGAAATAAATTAAATATCTTTAAATAAATATTAAAAAATAAAATTAATAACAATACATTAAATAAATATAAAAAATATTACTATAATTTAATATTGAACAAGCATGAGAATGTGGAAGGGGGTATTAAACCACAACCGCACCGTTCTGTCCGAAGCTTAATCAGCCATAAAACAGTTTTAACGGTTTAAAACGCAAAATAAACTAGTTAAATTTATTTATTCCTCCTAATACCAATACGAAGAAACCGATGACGCTAGCCTCCCCGTGACCACGGCTGCTGCAAAGCATCCGACACATATAAGATAGAATTAACTAATATACTCCGCGTTTTAAACCGTTTAAAATGGTTTTATTACACTGTATACAACTCAATCTATCTGAAACTGCAAACCATGCTTAATTATAAATTACCTGTACTCCAACGATCATCAGCTTCATCCGAGCGTAGGGTTTCGCCTCATGCAGCACGGATCGAAGGAAGCCGACGACATCGACGCTGCGACTTCGCCCCCCTCGCACAACGGACCGAAGGGGCTCGGAGAGGCAACATCCGACCGTGTTTAGGTTCCATAGGCGGGAGAGAAGGCCCATTTGTGGGGGGAGGTCCGTTATGTCTGGAAATTAGAGATCAAACATTAAATAAATAAATTATGTTTTATTTTACTTATATAAGCGGCAGCCGAAAAGTTAAGGACCCAAGTACTATTAATTTTTTTTTCTTTTCATTTCAAACTTCTTCTTCTTCTTTCTACGTTGAAAAGACAATAAAAAGTTTAATACCCCGGTTGTATCAATAGTTCGATTTCGTAATTAAAATTATTTTTACTTCAACTGATATTCTTACGTTACATAACGCGTTACGGTGATAGTCTGTCTTGCTCTAAATTTCAATATAAGTGTTACGACTTGACGTCAATTTATTATTGTTTTAATAATAGTCGAGAAAGTTTTCAAAAGTATATTCTGTGTTTTGAACCGTTAAAACTGTTTTACTTAAATCTGTACTACTCGCGTGAAGACTACTTCATTTACCTTTATTCCCACTTAGATTGAGAACAGCCAAGTTGCTGAGCAGGTATATGGCTGGAGGAACAGCCTTCAGCAGGTTACAAGATACATCCAGCATCGAGAGCAGAGGGAAGAGGAGGCGACGCTTGAGGTGGCATTCGCCTTCCGACTGTGAAAAGTTTTATCATAAATGGTCTATCAAAACAGGGAGTTTAAGAAAATCTGTTCTAGCGTTGCGTTGAGTATGAACGGACATCGGCTTTGATGACATGCATTAGAGGTGTTTGTATGTAAACAAGATATGCTGTCGGCCTATTTGGGCTTTGGAAGTTCTGAAATCCAAACACTATGTACGGTGAAGTGCTCCGGACACAGGATATTTAGAAACACGCTGGAAATCGAACCCAAGAGGCGATAATAAGACAAACATTGCTATCATCAGACCTATTCGACGAAGACACTATTCACAGTTCACCAAAGACGTCATTTCATAAGTTACTATAAAAATTATTCTCTCTTTTTGTCATAAAGAATAAGTACCCATTCGTCATCATTGTCGTCATTCCGGTGATCAGCGCTCGTCGCTAGGCCGTCGTCATCCGTCGTCAGCTGAATGCGCGGGAGCATGTTATTCGCGAGGATCTACAAGTCAAACCGGTGTAATTTTATGTTTGTTTAAATAAAACACTTTAACGGTTTAAAACGCGATATGTTTTAGTTAAACTTGTATGAAAGTTATTTTTAGCTTCGGCCCGTAGTCTCCCCGTGACCACGACTGCTGCAAAGCAACCGAAACGTCGGGCCGAAGTTTGAAATATTTTTTAAATAGGTTTAAAATATCGCGTTTTAAACCGTTAAAGTGTTTCACTAAAATGTGTACTACTCGCGTAAACTGGAGACGGTAATTAAAAATATACACTCAATAAAATGTATGGCAAACTTTTTCCTTACCAGGGTTCTCAAAGCTTCGAGCCTCAAGTGCCTCCTTGCAGCACAGGCCGCGCTAAGGAGTTGAGATCTAACTGAGCCCCCGGACCTGGGACGAGCTCGCCCACCCCCACCGTTGGGACAGTAGCACGCCAGAGGTGAACCATCGCCAAAACTGTCCACCTAGGTTTGACAAAATATGAGTTTAAGTAAAAAATAATTCAAAAGTAAATTAAAACATATAATTTAAAATTCTATTTACAATGAAATTGTGACGACCCGGACGGATAATAAATAAAAAGATTTTTAACTCGTATTAGACATTTTTTATTATCCTTTAATAAAACACTTTTAACCGTTTAAAACGCGAAATGTATTAGATAGCACTCTCTATTAGATCACGGTTGCTGAAAATATTTGAACTGGGACCACAGTAAAGATAAATCAAAAGTAAGTTAATATATTTCGCGTTTCAAACCGTTAAGTGTTTAAATTAAGTGTCCACTACTCGCTTCCCGTGACCACTGGGCTGCTGCAAAGCATCCTAAATTAAAAAATAAATGTATATGGTACTTTTCTGACGCTCAGTTTAATCTTGGAAATATGGAGAGCTGGTAACACCAACCTGAGGTAGACTGGGCCAGCAGGAAATTTCGTTGTGACTCAAGTCCAGTTGCCGAAGGTTTGTTGGATAAGACGTGACGTAAGACATAGATCTGAAATTGTTAAAAACTTGTTTGAAAACACGTTTTTGACCGACTTGTTATAAGAATGTATGAAGCTAAGGAAAACGCAGAAGGCCCAATTAGAATGAGTCTGTACTATTATTTGTGTAAGAATTATGTTAACAATTCTCGGTCACTGTGCTCTTGTAGATGAACATTTTTAGACTATGCCAATATAAATAATTTAAATCATAAAATTGCAGTTAGGCTACTCTGCCTCTAGCGGCCTCAATTAAAAAATCAATCATAGATTAGAACCGAACCGGTAGCTTTAGAATTTTTCAATTCGGACCCTTAGTTTTTGAGATTAGCGCGTTCAAACAAAAAAACATTTCAGCTTTATATATTAGTAGAGATATAGATTATATTATTATACATATGGCTAACATTATGAGTCGTGGGTTTGAATCCCACCGGTTCAAACATGTTTCCAGTGAATTTATGGTTTTTTTTGGACCTGCCTTGGACTTCGTATCTGTATTAAATTGTTCGTAGGGATATCACAAATTACGTCCGGGCCACAAACCACCATCCATAGACGATAAAATACAGAACGAAAAATATAATTAACTAGTGACCCGCCCCAGCTTCGCTCGGGTGCAATGCTGATACCAAATACTACAGAAGAACTGTGATCGTTATATATAAAAACCTTCCTCTTGAATAACTTTATCTATTTAAAACCGCATTAAAATCTGTTGCGTAATTTTAAAGATTTAAGCGTACATACGGACAGTAAAAGCGAATTTGTTTTATAGTAAGTAGTGATGTTAAGTCTATATTTACAAACTTACCTAAGTCCATTATAAGCCATATTAAGTCGTGTCAAATTTGGGGCTCTACATGCCAACGGTGGTGGGACACAAGAGAACTGGTTGTGGGACAAGTTCAAGGAGGTCAAGCAGCTAGCCCCGGGACCAGATGGGGCCCTGACGGGAGACGGGGCACGCGCCCCACGCCAGGCGTGAGCTCGTTTTGCCTCTGACCAACTGTAACATTTTACAATTGTTTCTACAAACGACTATATATAGAAAAGCAAAATACTAATTTCGGCAAAAAGTCGACATATCTTGGTTTTCTTAGTAATTTGGGCAAATTCCAAAACAATTGACGGTATGAAACGCGAAATATATTAGTTATTTAAAAATAATGATTCTTTTAACAGCGGCCCGACGTTTCGACGTGTCGTCTTCCCTTGACCACGGCTGCTGCAAAGCATCCAAAACGTCGGGCAGTAGTTAATATCGCGTTTTAAACCGTTAAGTGTCGTAATTTTCTACTTTATTAGACGATTACTATTATAAAGCACTTTGAGAAAATTGATTAGATTGAAAATCACTTATAACTCACACTGCGTTACCAGCTCGGTTCCCAAGTACCGGAACGTCTTCATCATCAGGAGTTGCATCGCTGTTTTCTATTGACGGGCTCCGTGACGCAGTTTTCTGAAACAAACGTCAATATTTTACCAAACGAGTCTGTAACGGTTTAAACTAGATAGCGCTGTTTTTAAAAAACAAAACAACATCGATTTGTGTTCTAAAATACACGGAATATCTTTCATTGAAGAGTTATCATTTTGTTAGAGGCATATTTTGGAAATTATAGGCTAATTGCATCTCATCTCATTACTAGATTAAGAGGGGGAAATATCGGCCCCACTTTGGCGATCCAGGATCTTTGCCTAACCAGACCACTTCCGTTCCTAATTAGGTTACATAACATACCGTTTGTGAAAATCCATATGGGGCATTGTATGAGGAGGGCGAAGCCCCCGGTAGTGGGGAATCCGACGGAGATGACACACACGAGGTACTTTCACTGTTAGCCTGAAAAGAGAAAAGAAACAATTAATTATAACACAACGGTTTAGCGGTAGAACGACATCTGTTACCAAAAATTTAGCCGTACCCACGACGTCATTTGCATCCCGTGGTTTTGTTTAATCTTAAAAGATAGACACATACTGTCCCTGACAATGTTTTAGATTATTTAAAGAGAAATGACTCCCTTAAAGCATATTTTTTTTCCGTTCAAGAATGAGACTGGTACGGTGTGTTCCAAGTGCCCGTCGCTCTGGGCGTGCTTTGGGCGTGCTATTGAGGCATTCACCTTAACCATCAGTTTAAAAAAAATGCGTTGTCATCCCTCTTAAATGCTCTGGAGTATTTCACCTACATTAACCATACCTCTTCCCCACTCGGCAACTCCTTCAGATGGTTCAGGGCAGCGTTAAGATCCCTCAGACTTGGCGCACTCCACATATTGGCTGGGAGGGCTCGTAGTTTGTTATTGGAGACGTCCAGGCTCGTGAGACCAGGAAGAGAGAAGAGTTCTGCTGGTAATTCCTCAAGGCGGTTATCCTGGAAGAGTATTATGTATGAAAAATGAAAGAAGAGAACCATCGCCTGGTGATGCCCTCCGCTCGTGATGGCGAAATGTTGAGAACTTTTTCTGGCTGACGTAGGCCGAACAGTTCTAAAAACAATGATATGCTGAACGATGGCCGTGAACGCCTTATACAATTTATATTTTATAGATTTAATATTTTTTATATATTTATAATCGTTTTTTTTTTCATTAGCAGTAATGTTTTTTTTCAACGTTATGAATATTTGAGTTGGACGCAAAATCTAATACAGTGAAACCTGGTTAATTGCAATAAGCAAGTTGTTGTCTCATTTACAAAGGCCGCCATGTTTGTTTGTTAACACGTTGTCTGTACAGTGTCAACGTAGTATACGTGACGCCAGCGTGTATTTGACAATTCGCTGGCGTACCTTATTGGATGCGCAGTTGTCAAATTGAGAGAACACCATCGGCGCTGAATCGAAATCTAATCGCAGAGCGACTGCAACTTGATCGAAACGTCATTGAATTAGTAGAATCGGCCTGCTGGACGGAATATCGGTTTTCCTAGAATCCATTAAATATACAGATTTCCCCACGAAATCCAATATGTATCACAATTTCATTGACTAGCAGTGCCAGCAACTTCTGAGTAGAATAGTTATTTCGGGCGTAAATACATAATAAATAAATAAAAAAAAATATAATTTTAAAATCAAAAATAAATTGAAAAAAAATTTCGACTCGGGGAGGACTTGAACCGGCATCGTCAGCTTTCCGTGCTGTTGCTCTACCAATTGAGCTACCGAGTCCTACACCCCAACCTCGAATTTTTTCAACATTTAAAAACACGCACCCCCCGCGGAGGTTTTTTAAAACCAAAACACTGGCGTAATGGGGTTAATTTTCCAAAAAAAGGAAAAAAAAACGGGGGGGGGGGGGGGGGGTTTTTTCCCCCCCCCCCCCCCCCCCCCCCCCCCCCCCAAAAAATATTTTTTTTTTTTTTTTTTCCCCCCCCCCCCCCCCCCCCCCCCCCCCCCCCCCCCCCCCCCCCCCCCCCCCCCCCCCCCCCCTTTTTTTTTTTTTTTTTTTTTTTTTTCCGGGGTCCCCCCCCCCGGGGGGCCCCCCCCCCCCCCCCCCCCTTTCCCTTTTTTTCTTTTTTTTTTTTTTTTTTTTTTTTTTTTTTTTTTTTTTTTTTTTTTTTTTTTTTTTTTTTTTTTTTTTTTTTGATTTAGGGTCTCCAATGTCTCTAGGCCAAGTTGTAATTTTATCTATTAAGTATGTTTAGCTTTAGCAATTTGGTGTTAATTTCCAGTTTTATTATCTTTTTTATTGTATACATGCAACTTTTATGTTGACTCTTGCATTGTTTTCCAAAATTTCTTTTTTATTCCTTATCACTTGCGCCATAGCTAAGGTTGCCTGGAAGAAATCGCCATAGGCGATAAGGCCGCCTTTGCACACATGTCTTTATTTTGTAATAGTAATTCGATGTATCATGTTCTTAGGTCTATGTTTTCAATAAAGAGTTTATTATTATTATTATTATTATTCCTCTATAAATGCTTTAACCGACACAAAAAAAAAATTCGAACCAGCAGTTCCCGATATTAGTGCGTCCAAACAAACAAAACTCGTCGAACCCACGAGCTGTGCATTATTTACCATACATTGCTACCAACTTCTCTTACTTGTTTTGCTGTCGACCCCGCAGTACATAGAACCAAGAAGTAATTCACCTGTAAATAAAGCTCTTGCAGAACTGGCGCTGTGTACACACTGCTGAGCTTCTTCTCTCGCTTCCTTCTCACTCTTCCCCCCTCGCACTCTTCTTCGAACGGGTCGGTGGATGTCGGTAGCCGTTCTAGTTTGTTCTGAGCGGCGTTCAAATATCTGATCAAGAAATTAAAACAATAAAATTGGTAGATATAGAGTCTTGGCTTTGAATCCTGTGAGAATAATGACTTCTGACGGGGCACAGAACTTTTATCACGACAGGCTCGTTGGTAATGGTAGCAATTTATCAACGAGTCACGAGTTCGATAGCCAGCGGGTCCAGTTCCGGTTCCTGAACAATTTATAAAGTTTCGGAAACGTTTTGGACGTCATCTACAAATCTGGATTACATTCCGTCCAGGTCACGAACTGTCAACAGATGAAAAAACTATTAGGGTTAATCGCGTTTCGATTCCAGTCTGTGGATTTTCGAAGGTCCAAAGCCAAAATAGGCCGGCAGCGCATTTGTTTTGCTATTATATGGCCGGGGTATGTCACCTTGCCACCAAATTAACTCTTTTTTTTTTTTTTTTTTGAATGGACTATTACGTATTGTGTTTCTATGGAGCCACGAATACTAACCGGGCGTTTTGGGCGAGCGCGAGAGCGCTCGCCGTGTTTGCGGCTAGACCAAGGGTGCCCCGAGGGGGGCAACGGCCTCGGCTTGGACCGCCGCAATGCGGGTGGGAGCTTGAGGAGCTGGACGGAAGCTCACCCGGGTGAGCGGTACGCGTAGCGAATGACCTCGCCTACGCCGGCGTAGGGTTTACTCTATGCTTGCCTGTTCTCTTCTATCATATCATAAAGACAATGCAACACAATAAACTGATAAGAAAAATGTTTGTCTCGGTGGGGATCGAAGCCACGACCTGTTGATTATTAGCCATACCTCCCTACCATTACAAGCGAAACCCAAATAGGACTCCAGTCCTCTGTCATAAGATCGCTAGTTGGTCTTACCTCAAGCTGATAAGCGAAAACAACTCTCTAGGTAACTCCCGTAGTTCGTTATTTGCTAATTCCAGCCTGGTAAGCGCCAGTAACGCGTTACCACTAGTGCATAACTTCGAATTGACCCGGGACGCGGCTGCACGAAGCCAGCTCATTCTGTAACAGATTTTAATATACATATTAGCTATTGAAATGGAACACATTTAACGGTTCAAAACGCGAACCGGATTAAACTGATTTACATTTTATTCTCACGACGAAAATGAAGAAGTTGCGGGTAGATTTGACTTTGACATTAATAGTGATACCCTCCATAGTAGTATAAATTTAATTTAAACATATTTAACGGTTTAAAACACGAACTGTATTAGTTAACTTATTTAGAATTCCTTTTAACAACGGTACCGAGAAATATATTTAAAATCGTATTTTTTTGACTACAATCCGAAGTATAATACGCGGATACTAGGTCGCGGATGGAAACGTCTGGTCATAGTTAAAAATTAATATATTTTGCATTTCAAACCATGTCAAAAATGTTTCACTTGACAGACAATGAGCCTACAACACACAATCCACTCACCGTAATCTAGCCAGTTGACAGCGCAACTCCCGCCAATTAATCATGACAGGCGTGGACGGACAGCGCGCGCTGAAAGACAGCGCCGGGTCAGCATCTTTCCCAGCAATGACAGCCTCCGAGATCGCCGACTTATTAAGCTTGTACTCTGGATCTGGATATGCCTGTATCACAACATGGCACTATATTCACACTCGTCGCATTTCTTATTGCTATACTAGAACTACGGAATGTAACTGGCGGTAATGCTTTGATGTCCCTTTATTATGCACAATTACCCCCTCTTATATATAAATGCCCCTATTTATACATAATTGCATAGGTTCCTATTTATACATGAACGCCCCCTTTTACATACAATTGCTCCATTTTAAAAACAATTACCCCTATTTATACACGCATGCCCCATTTTACATACAATTGCCCCATTTTATACTTAAATGCCTCTATTTACGGGACCGTCCCCGTTTTTACATATGAATGCCCCGTTTTTACATACAATTGCCCCATTTTATACACAAATGCCTCTTTTTGTACGCCAAGAGGGGCCCTCTTATTAGAAACGCCCCTTATTAAACACAAATCGCCCTTATATTTTAATCGTATTTAGTCAAATATATTCCGCGTATTAAACCGTTAAAAATCGTAGACTTCAAATAGCTTGTCCATTGTTGATTTATTCATTATTTATGTGACTTGATTCAAAGATGCTTCAAGCAAAAATGTATGAATATGACATATAATGAACTAAAAATAAATAAAGCCCCTATAATACTTACGTTAAGATCTTAAATTTATTTAAATAAAAACTTTAACGGTTTAAAACGCGTGGTCACGGGGAGACAGGTGGTCTGTAACGCTGCTGCAAAGCAGTCTCGGCTTATCAAAGCATCCGAAATCGGGCCGAATTAAAATTTTTCAAATAAATTTAACTAATATATCGCGTTTTAAACCGTTAAAGTGTTTTATTTAAATGTGTACTACTCGCATAAACTATAGACAGTATTTTATTAAATTTATTGAAAAATTATTTAATTTTAACATATTTTAAGTGGATGACTTGACAACCCCACAGAAATAAAATCTCGTTTCTCAGGGTAGTTGTGGGCTGAGTCTTACACTTCCACATTTACAGTTGATAAAACTTCGGTGCCCTGCAAGACCGTATCTATTTATTACATTTGCCCGGTCTTCCAAACCCACGACCTCCATTAACACACCTTTTTTCTTATTCAATATCGTTTCTCTTAATTAAAAATTATTATTGTTCTACAAATAGAGTGAATATTATAAAAAATGACACAGGGCGGGACTCAACCCTTGAATTAATTGCCTAATTCCTTTAGTAGCACCATTGCCGTTTGTGTACGTTGTGTTTGTGTTGTGAGTATATGTGAAAGAGATAGAGAGGGGGACGGGGAAGGAGAGAAGGGTAGGGGAGCGGGGAGAGAGAGTGCTTTTGTAACAAGGGAATGCTTGAATTCCGACAGCGCATCTCGTGTAGACGGCAAATGGCTTGTCTGACCTCCTTTATCTATCAATAAAAAAGTAATTGGATTTATGTAATATTCACGTTTGCCACTAACCTTTGTGGCTAGCAACGAAGCCACAAGGTCGGTTAGACCGTGCCTCGCGCATTCCCTTAGGGCTTTGCCACCGGGGTCCGTCGCACCGGCTGCTAGCAGCATCTCTACTATTTGGACGTTCCTTGCGCGCGCTGCGACCGCAAGTGCTGTCCAGCCTTCTCCTAATGGCATATGATATAATAATATATACTTTTTAATTTTTTAGATTTAAAAGCAACAGATTAGGAAAAACGTTATTCAGAATTTTTCCTTTTTTTTCTTCTTTAAATGTAAAATTAATGTTACATGCACATTAGATAAAACACTTTAACGGTTTTAAACACGACATATATTAGTTAAACTTAATTTGAAATTATTTTAACGGTTGCCCAACTTTTCGAAAAACGTTTAACTAATATATATATATATATATATATATATATATATATATATATATATATATATATATATATATATATATATATATATATATATATATATATATATATATATCGCATTTTAAACCGTTAAAGTGTTTTATTTTAAATCACTACTCACGTAAAATAAAGGCAGTATTACACTTCACGGTTTCAAACACGAAATATTGGATTGTATATATATTTTTTTTAAGTATAGTTTCCAAAATCTCTGGTAAAAATATGCGAATGGTATACTGAATAAAACACAGTTAACAGTTTGAAACTCGAGTATTTCCGTATTTTCAATTATTTCACTGTTGAACAGCCGAAATGTCGGGTCGTAGTTGAAATGGTGTAATATATGAAGTTTAAACCGTTAATGTTGTAAAGTAAGGTGTAAAGGTGTTTCATTTTCACCAATTGAGTAACTACGAGTAATATAATGACGTCACTAATTAATGTATACTTACGATCATCGTTATAGGCCGGTTGTGCTGGCGAGGGCGAAGCCCTACCGCGCGTGACGGACGCACTTCGGGAGCGCCGCCGAGTATCCCGAGCCACGTCCGATATCATCTCCTAAAAGTAACACAATATTTATATCTATACTAATATATAAAGCTGAAGAGTTTGTTTGTTTGTATGTTTGAACGCGCTAATCTCAGGAACTACTGGTTCGAACACAAAAATTATTTTGGTTAGAGCATTTATCGAGGAAGGCTATATGCTATAAAACATCACGCTGTGACTGATACAAGCAAAGATACAGCGAGAAATGTGAAAAAACTTGGGAAAATTATTCATTATTATGGGTATCCAGGCGTACTTATTAAACCTCCATTTCATGACGTCACCGTAGCAGCATTTGCAATACTTACAGCGCATGCGTCAGGCCGTGCGCCCGCGGCTAGCAAACGTCGCAAGACGCGCGCATGTCCCAATCGCGCTGCGCATGCGACGCACGTGTCCATACCACGCCCACTGTCCGTGCGCACTGGACGTACACGCTTCTCCATATCGACTACCGGCTGAAAGTAACAAGTATACATTTTTAACGGCCTCGTTGGTCTAATGGTAGCAGAGAATGGCTGAGAATAATCGGTGATGGGTACGATCCCCACCAGGTCTAACATTTTTTTCTAATTTTTCTGAAACGTGTTAGACTTGAACTGGAAATCTGGATATTAAATGGATGGCAGGAATATCGACATTCCATCCAGGTCACAAACCACCATCCACCGAAACAAATTTTAACGATTATAAATTTGAAAAAATTACGCCTCGGGTCTGACCTGACCCGACATCCTCTGCGTTCCGTGCCGTTGTTCTAAATAATTTAGCTACAGTGTCCTACACGTTATCGTCGTAATTTTCTCAACATTGATACATGCACCTCTCGCGCAATGTAATTTCAACCTTAACACTTGCGATTTTGCGTTCAATTGGTCAAAGCACGGAACGCCGAGGATGTCGGGTCAAGTCATGCCCGAGTCGTAATTTTTTCTTCAATATATAATCGGTTATTAATTAATAGTGGCATCATGAGCACACATAACATGTGAAAAATATTTAAGTTTTCAAACAAAACAATACCGTTTAAATAAAACACTTTAACGGTTTAAAACGCGATATATATAAGTTAAACTTATATGAAGATTATTTTAACTACCGTCTTTAACGTGACCACAGCTGCTGCAAACACCGAAACGTCGGGCCGCAGTTAATATAATTTTCAAACAAGTTTAATTAATATATATCGCGTTTTAAACCGTTGGATTGTTTTATTTAAATGTGTACTACTCGCGTAAACTATAGACAGTATGAAAATATTACCGTTTTATTTCCTCCGGTTAGTTTACTGACTATAGCGTGTATCCCCAAGGATATTCCACTTCTATGCGGACTAGAGGGGACCCTTCCATCTGACTGACTTATCTCCTTCGATGGAGACTGAAATAAATGTATAAAAGTGTAAACCTGTTCCCCGCACGGGGCAAGGGGCGAAAACATTTCTGCGTCGGTTACACTAATCGGTTTTTAAATGTAGTTGACTTCCAAACCAAAACCAAATTTTAACAGCTAAAAATGACTATTCTACACGAGACAAAATCGATGACATAGCTAGTTAAAATATAAGGTCTTATAACCCTTTCGCAAGAGGAGACCTAAGCCCAGCAGTGGGACTGCATTAGTTGGGATGATACAGACCTGAGCTTGTTTAATAGCGGGCAGAGAGAACTCCAACAACGCATCGACGACGGCGGCGTTGCCGAGCGTACACGCCACGTATAGAGCGCTCTGTCCGCTAGCGTCGCGAGCGTTTACATCAAACGCCATGCGGTACTGCAACTGTCCACTTGGATCGCTGAAATTCAATTAAAAAAGTATATTAACTTACATAAGACACTTTTAAAGTAACGACGGAGTTTATGTAAACAGTATAGGTTTATAAAGACACTCTTAACGCAGGTTTTAACGGTTTAAACCGTTTTAAACGTGAATGATATTAGTTGACTTATTTTTTTCAAGATACGGGCTGACGTTTCAGATTATTTGCATCAGGCGTGATCTCGTGGGGAGTAAAGGTGCAGGGTGTCCCTAATGTCAAACAACGGGACTGGCGTAGCAGTTTACTACTAAATTTAAAATAAGTTAACTTATATAATTCGCCTTATACACCGTTAAAAGTGTTTTATTTAAATAGAAACCAAACAACCAAGGTTTCAATGTGAAATTTGAATATCTAATGTTTTCTGAGTGAGTACAACTCAACTCAAAGAAAAAATTAATAGTTAAACAATTGTTCTAGTGAAATAATATACAAGCTTTCGCCAGTGACCCCGTCTATATGTCAAGATGACTTAAAACTTTATGTAAACTATTAAGACAACGCGAAATTTTCAAGTATAAAGAAAAAAATAGAACGGTTTGAAACGCGAAATGTAAAAGTTAATTTGTTTTTCAACTACGATCCCAATGTTGAAAATTTTAAATTTAAATATATTTTGCGTTTAACGTCAAATTTAAATACTTAATAGAGTAACATTAATTTTAACGGTTTAAAAGCGATATATTAGTTAAATTATTTGAAAATGATTTTCAACTTCGGCCCGACGTTTCGGATGCTTTGCAGCAGCGTGGTCACGGGTCAAATTTAACTCTTACTACCTTATAAACAAACTAACTATTCTTGCGCGTTATTGATACATAATAACCAAATGACTTACGTATAAGTGGTTAGAAGATGAGATGGGTACTGATACTCCAAGAGCAACTTCACAAGGGCTGGATGTCCACCGATGCAAGCTGCATGCAGCGGCAGCCATTTTTCAACTGTTTCTTGCTGCAAAAAAAAAAAAACAATACTAATTATAACGATAGTTCAGACTCTACTGTACTTCTTAGACCACTAATGAAATTGTGGAAGGTCAGCATTTGACAGCATCTTAATGGTAGCAAGGCTTTGGGCAAGGCAATCATCGGGCTGTGGATTTAATTCCCCCTATCGGATCTATAAAAAATTTTCTGATGTTGCATCATAGATATTAAATCTGGATATAAAATCAATGGAGGGAATATCGAAATTCTGTCCGGGCCAAAATAGATCGACAACACATCTTATTGAGAAGTTATAAGATTGTGGTATTTCACCTACTAACAAATGAGTCCTATGCTTGCCTATCCTCCTCTATCAAAAAACAAAGACACATATTTGTGTCTGTTTCTATTTGATCTATTACAAGTATGTAGCTAGTTGCACGTCTACATCCTACCGGACGTATACAAATGGAATATCCACAGAAATGTTAACACTGTTATCCTCTATCATAAAAAAGTGGCGCTGATCTTCACATGTTTCAAGAATACCTGGACAGCTTCAGGGAAATGTGTCAACAGCAGCGAGGCGATGTCCGAGTGGCCATGGTAGCAGGCGATGTACAGCGGGCCGTACCTCGTCACCGGATGGGCGCGGCCGTCTGCGCCTGCGCCGACTAGAACCGAAGCAGCTGCTAAGTTGCCTAGCTCCGATGCTCTGTCAAGATACACGTTATTTTTCTGTAATCTGAACCAGGGGAGCGTACAATTTTATTATACAAAAATACAATATTTATACTAATATTAAAGAAATCTTTTTGTTTGTTTGAACGCGCTAATCTCAGGAACTACTTCGGTTCGATTTGTTTTATGTTGGTCTAGAGCTTTAGTCTATAAAGAAAGAAAGAGTCAAAGAAGACATAATTATAATTTGAATAGGTATTTTCAGTATTGTTTGTAGCATTGCAACGCAAAAGATGGCGCTAGGGTAGCAGTTTTTACTTTAATTTTAGGTACACCTTCCATCTTTAGTACCCCTCGTGACCACGCAAGCAACCGAATCGCAATTAAATAATTGTAAATAAGATAACTAATAAATGTTACAATAAAAGTTTTACTCATATAGCTAATACTAAGCTCGTATAGTACATATATTTGATTTTAAACCGTTAAAATGTTAATTTAATAGCTATTGTCTAACTAACACATAAAGCAAAGTATTGGCACCCCCTGGGGTCAGGTTGGCAATAATAGCTGCAGATGCACCCAGGGAATCCAGTTTATCGCGGAGACCGCTGGCATCGCTGCGCACCACCAGCTCACGGAGCTGCGCATGATGCGATAGACGCTCACGTTCCAAAGCATCTGAAAATAAATGCCTTATTTCAATACCAGTTCTATCATCTCTTTGACAGACAAGTCTTTTACTTCATAGTAAAATATACCCCAGTTTAACAGTTAAAAAGGCTTTCTTTTGATGTGCTGTCGTCCTATTTTGGCTTAGAATATTCGGAAATAAGGCTTTTTTATCTCTGGACGGCGTTTTGTAATCCGGACGAAATTTTGATATTCTAAACAAATAACATATTTTATTAACATGTACGAGAATCGAAGTCACGAACGTTGCTAGCCATATAATACTACCACATATCTATCTAAATTAAATACTTCTATAGTTTACGCGAGTAGTAAGTACACATTTAAATAAAATACTTTAACGGTTTAAAACGCATATATTAGTTAAACTTATTTGGAAATTATTTTTAACTTCGGCCCACTTTCGGATGCTTTGCAGCAGTCGTGTCAAGTCAATCATTTCCAAATAAGTTTAACTAATATATCGCGTTTTAAACCGTTAAAGTGTTTTATTTAAATATCTATAATTAATTATCAAACGGTCGTTCGTTTGATACCCATCGGGTCCAACCTATTTCTGAGCAATTTAAAATTTTTCTGAAACATATTGGACTCTTTCTGGAAAACTGATATTAAACGTGTGGTAGAAATATTGAAATTCCATCCAGATCACGAACTACTGTCAACAGAAGTTTAATCACATTTCGGTTTCATTCTCCAGATTTCCAATTTTCCAAAATAGGTCGACAGCTTTTTTAATTTTAACAATTAAATTCAGATGTTACATGCCCGAGGTATTTCATTCTATCAAGCAAATCCCTTCATCTGTCCTGTGCTATCATAAAATAAATAATAACCTGTACACCAGGGATCTCTGACGTCATCGACGAAGTACTGCGCCGCGTCGTACGCGTCCTCCGCGACGCGTGCGTGTACGCACTCCGAGATTTGTCTGCGCACGCCGCGCTTCTCCGAATACGAGGAACGCACCTGATTCGCCGCCGAACGGAAGCGATTCAACATAATTCAACGATCCCGCGCATCCATTTTTAATCCACCACTTATTGTTTTCACTCATCCAAGCTTTTCAATTGATGATATCTTTCTAAAAATGTATGTAACTGGCATCTACACTAATATATAAAGCTTAAGAATTTGTTTGTTTGAACGCGCTAATCTCAAGAAGTACTGTTTCGAATGGAGAAATTATTCAGTCAATCTTAATACGTAGACAAATATTGTCGGGCACATTTTTTTTACATAATTAAAAAAGGGAAATCATTCCTTCATAGATATATTTTGGTTAGCTTGAACCGTTTTCGCAGTTTCCGTTTAGCTTGCTAGTTTTTTCCTATTTTCCCTTTAACTAAAACCAAATTTTCAATTCCTCTTTAGATGACTTTAAAAAAGTCCGCGACGCTATATACTTGTCTTTTAACTTGCAAGAACGACGGGAAGGGACACGTTCGACGTCGGGGGTGACGGTTTAAGTTTATAAAGACGAAGGTATTTGCAAAAAAGAATTTGGATGCCCAAAATAACGATGACACAGACGAAGTCGCTGAGACAGCTAGTATTAGATAATACTTTATGAACGCGTAATTAAGGTAAATTGTAAATTAGTTATTAAATTTCGCATTTAGAACCGGTCAAATTGGTTTTATTTAAACGATCTACGAGTTAGATAATCGTCTACAAACGACCTTATGCCCACGCAGACTGAACGCGTGTCCGTTCACGTGATAATTAGACTAAGTAAAATCCCTTAAAAGATATGTATTTCTTACGTAAGCCCGACAATATTAAATTAAGCGGATTATCCCTTTTCTTTGTTTATGGCAGACAAGCAGAGGGCGAAATACCGTCTGTAGTTTACGCGAGTAGAACACATTTAAATAAAACACTTTAACGATTTAAATAAAACACTTTAACCGTTTAAAACGCGATATATTAGTTAAACTTATTTGAAAATGATTTTTAACTTCGTCCCGACGTTTCGGATGCTTTGCAGCAGCCGTGACCACGGCTGCTGCAAAGCGTGTTTTAAACCGTTAAAGTGTTTTATTTAAATGTGTACTACTCTATATCGTAACTATAGAGTATAGACAGTATTCACTTTAACGATTTAAAACGCGTAAATATCAGTTAAACATATTTTAACTACGGCCCGACGTTTCGGAGGCTTAGCAGCAGCCGTGATCACGGGAGTCTGCCTAACGTGATATACAAAACTATCTCATATTTGAATAATAAAAACATTTTTTTAAAGTGGAAAATAAATTGAAAAAAATTTCGACTCGGGCACAGCAACAGCACGGAACGCCGACGATGCCGGTTCGAGTCCCGCCCGAGTCGAAATTTTTTTCAATTTATTTTCGATGTTTAAATTTTTTACTGCCTTCATGTGAAAAATATTAAAGTATCAAAAAAAACATTACAACCGTTGACGAACATAATGGACCCGGAAGGAATCGAATACACGATCCGTCGTTTACACGTTGCTATCATTAGTAGCGTTTAAAGTATTATTTGAAGTAAAAAGTGAAAGTAAGAAGTAATTATTAAGGCAATTATATCTAATTTTATTTAATCTACGGTTAGTTTAATGGGAGCAGTTTATTGCTAACTATCTATACTAATATATAAAGCTGAAAAAGTTTGTTTGTTTGAACGCGCTAATCTCGGGAGCTACTATTTCGAATTGACACACAAACACAAATTTATTTTTGTGTTTGTGTGTTCAATATTTATTAATGCCGGATGTCCGGGAACTTGTAAAGTAACAAATTTAGCATTTTCAACCGTTAAAATTGTTTTAATTAATATTTAGATATTATTACATTTGACCACCGCTGTAGTTAAATGTTTTGCCTAGCATTACGTTAAGCGAGAGAGATCCTGGGTTCGAATCCCGGGAAAACAATTCATTGTTTTTCCGGGATAAGGGTCTGATCAGAGATCAACTACTTGCCAGTAAAATAACTGGTCAGTGTAATGGACACAGAAATGTCCCCCATGCCCCATGGAGAGAACGAGACAATATTGTGTATCTGCATACAAAAGCGGTATAAATCAAACAATAATTAAACCGTTCAAAACGCGAACCTTATCAGTTAATTTACCAATTTTGATATTTATTAACTTCGATACAACTCATCGATGGTAGCTATCATCCCGCGAAACGAAAGATACAATATAATCAAATAATAAGTATTTTAAACCGTTAAAATTGTTTTAATAAATACGTAGCGATTATTAGTTACACTTAATACGTTTTGTGAAATCGTACCAACATATAGAGTACACAATAATTTAATTACAATTGCGTGTCTAACTACGCTAAAGGTTTTTAAAACAAGTAGAAAAAACAGTAGAAGGTTATTTACGGTCGTATACCGAAGTTCTAGTTTTGTATAAAATATAATAACAGAGCCCGTGGTACAAAAGAAACCGGCCAAGCGTGAGTTGAGTCTCCCCGTGACCACGGCTGCTGCAAAGCATCCGAAACGTGGGGCCGAAGTTAAAAATCATTTTCAAATATTTAACATATATCGGTTTTAAACCGTTAAAGTGTTTTATTTAAATGGCCTCATTAAGTTAACAATAAGTAAACATATATAATACAAGCTGTGTCAGCGACTTCGTTCGGGTAGAACAGTTATTTTGGGCATCCAAAGTTGTTTTTGCAAACTGTTACCTATGTCATCGGCATCGTCCCGTCGCACGGTTCCCGTCGTTCTTGCGAGTTCATCTTAAGAGATAGATGTATACTGTCGCGTAGATTATTTAGATCACTTTAAGAGGAATCATTCTTTAATACATTATTGTTGGTATCTTGAACCGTTATCGCAACGGAAACCCTTTAAAGATGAAAAATTTCCCCCGCTTTGTATGTGAACATATGCCACTGTTTCTTCTTTCTTATTAGTCGTCTTGGCCTAAAGCCTTCCTAGATAAATGATCTAAGCAACACAAAAAGATTTTCCCAATTCGAACCAGTAGTTCCTGATATTAGCGCGATCAAACATACTCTTCAGCTTTATATATTAGTATAGATGCGCGAGCGCCTGCGTTACTTAAACCTGTGTGGGGTGACTGACCAACAAACATCGCGCGGCCATTTTTAGAACTTAAATTATTCAAGTTAAGCAATAGTGCTAAACTGTGTTTGGCACACAGAAGATTAGCTTTATGAATAAATATAAGATAACGATATTGATTTTAATAAGAAATAATTTGTGTGAACCTTCAAAGAGAGTTACAATATATATACAAATATCTGTAAGTTCTTGTCAAAACAAAACCAATATACAGAGCCAAATATTGGCGTAGCTATCGTAGGAGGTGCAGTGCACCAGGGCCCCGGAACTTAGGGGCCCCCTAACCTTATCTTTGAGACGATAAGCGTAGGAGAAAAGGATTTTTAACATTCTTGTTGCTATTTATTTTTATTGAGTCTTAGGATTAGGTACACCTCCTAACTACGGTACTGGATAATTTAAAAATCGAAAACAAATTGAAAAAAATTCTCGACTCGGGCAGGATTCGAACCGGCATCGTCAGCGTTCCGTGCTGTTGCTCTACCAATTGAGCTACCGAGTCAAAACAGGTCGACAGCGCGTCTTGCTTAGTTGTTATAAGGTATTCAGCTACCATCGAGTGAACCACATGCTTCGCTGACCTTCTCTATCATAACAAAGTTTGTGAAACAATAGGTATTTGAAAAGAAAATGAAATGATGAAATCTAAACACGCTCCGCTGTCGTAGCCAATATAACGGCATTGATTATTCCGAAATCCACAGACTGAAACTGAAACGATAATCCTACTATCCATTTGTCATGAGGATGCTAGAGGCAGAGTGGCCTAATATCAAAAAACATGATTTTCAATAAGGAGTAAAATAAAAAAGCGTAATTAACTTAGGCGAAAACAAATTCGTACTATTATTAGTGTAAGAATTATTATAACAATTTTCGGCCACTGTGCTCTTGTGGATTAACTTTGAACTAGACTATGAAAATATGAATAACTCAAGTCAAATACTGTCTGTAGTTTACGCGAGTAGTACACATTTAAACAAAACACTATAACGGTTTAAAACGCGATATGTATTAGTTAAACTTATTTTAACTTCGGCCCGGCTTTACTTATTTACATCAGAGACACCCTCCATTTATAGCCTCCCCTAGACCATGGCTGCTACAAAGCATCCGAAAAGCCGGGCCGTAGTTTAAATAAGTTTAATATATATCGCGTTTTAAACCGTTAAAGTGTTTTATTTAAACATCAAAATTTCAGTTAGGCTACTCTGCCTCTAGCGACCTCAAAATCTAGATTGGGCGCGGTTAAAACGGTTTTTTAAAGACGTCGGCTCCTTCCTGGGTTCGAATCCCGGGGAAACAGTGATTAAACAGTTAATTGTTTCGGTCGGGCAGACGATCACAGAGGTCTGATCAACTACTTGCCCGTAAATAAAAACTAATCAGTGAACCACAGAATATGTTCGCCCCATGCCCCACGGGGGGAAACGGGATCTCATTTTTCCTCATCAAATAAAAAAACCTTGCTTGGAAACTGTGTGAAGTTCAAATGCATCACGCATAGGTAATTGAAACTTGACGTTGTCTTAAGTTGACTGACCGCAAACCATCGCTTATAGAAACATGGCTTTAAATTAATTTTAATGTTAAATACTGTCTATCATTTACGCGAATAGTACACATTTAAATAAAACACTTAAACGGTTTAAAACGCGATATATTAGTTAAACTTATTTGAAAATGATTTTTAACTTTGGCTCGACGTTTCGGGTGCTTTACAGCAGCCGTGGTCACGGGGAGACGGTCGCCAAAAAGTTTAACTAATATATATCGCGTTTTAAACCGTTACAGTGTTTTATTTAAATTTTAATGTGTTTGTATCTATGGTAACAAAACATGAACACAGCCGTCGTTTGAAGACTTTAATATTTTTTTACGTATAATTGCACATGATGGCACTATATACATTAAAAATCGAAA